ACATCACTGCCAGGCACAGAAACATGGCTCCAGTACATCCGGCGTGTGACAGACACCTGTGACAAAACACATATTAACTCTCATTAACTTGACAGGAAGGAAAAAAATAACGAATACAAAGAGATAATGTGAATGTCTAAGCAATACTCAAGGGTCGCCATATAGGTACCAACCAGGTACCATCCCGACAACTTGCCACCACAACAACCCACACAAGCTAACGCTTGTGAGACTTGCTTAGCATCCTTGGGATGGCAACCCAGGTAAAAGTTAAACCATTTATCTCACGGGAAATTGATTTTAAATTGGTTAGGCCAGTTGAGATATTTTATAAGACGTCATAACCGGGAACCAAACCCGGATCTCAAACCCACCACACAATGTTGGTCTTCTTCCTCATTACAAAGAACAGAGGGACGACCGATTGGTTATGTTTTCTTTGTATTTACCTTTAGTTTTTTCATACAACATTTTTTTTTTACACACCATGTAATCTCTCGCCTCTGCAGAAATAAAATAGGCTTAGCCATTATTTTTTTTCATCTATCACCTTTCCTATGTCCTTTTGAGTGTACCGCTGCCTTGACATTGGTCAGCTTGGAAGAGGCATCTTCCTGCAAACAACTAAATATGTGTAGCTACAAATAGCCTGCATTAAAAAAATAGGTACTAAACAATACTAATGAATGAGGATGAAATTTTTATTTGCCAGTTAATATTCCATACACATTGGCACGTCAAATTAGTCAAAACATAACATTACTGTACCTAAAATTTAGTGGGGTTAGTGTCCTTGACATATATTCTTCTATTGAGTATAATAGCTGATTACAAAGAAAGTTATTTATTTTAATCTTTAAATCCTTATTTATAAGTAATCTTATGGCTATTGGTAACTTGGCGGGGAGGATTGAGTTTAATGTGCCGCCGCCGCTATACTCCGCCAAGTAGGTACCTTGGGTATACAGCGCGCTGCAGGGGTTATGTTAGGTTGGGTTATCATAAATATGTTAGTAGGATTTTTCTCGTTTCATTATGAATCAAACAATACCAGATGAGTCATATTTTCGCCCGCCAAATACCCCAGATACAGGCGGTGACAGGTGATGCGCACGTTCCGGTCAACGACCTAACCTTGGCCTACTTGAAGGGGATTTGGCGTGTGAAAGTATGACTCATCTGGTATCGTTCGATTCATAACCAAACGAGGAAAGTCTTACTAACATATTTATGATAACCCAGCCTAACATAACCGCCACAGCACGCTGTATAAGGGTGGCCTCTGAATTATCCAAAGTACCTACCAAAATAACTTCAATGTAGGCTTATACTGAATAGGTGGCAACAAAGATATAATATATGTAGGCTAAATGGTTTAGAACAAGTTAGTGAAAAACCTAACTTCTACAGTCTCTTACCTTGTCACTTTTGATGAATTTGTAGTGTCAGTCCTGCCAAGAACGTCAAACTGCAACACTAACTGTCAACTAATCCACAGTCATCTGAATATCCCTTCCTTGTTTTAAAACAGACTGAAGATTTTTATTATAGATCACAATAAACTCCCAACAGAGTGTCAATTGGAGTTTAAATTATAGGGGACTGAATTTCTTATAGGCCTAATCTTGTTTAAAAAAAAATATATTTTTTTTTGTTTGGACAGTTTTCCTTAAAATCAGCAGTAACTCACAAAATTAGCAAATTAGTAAAATTAGTAAATTAGCAGTAACCTACATGCCTAAATAAGATCATTCATTGTTTTCATTACAATCAAAGTAGGTCTAAGTTAGATTCGTATCACTTCAGTTCTTGTTACTAGGTGTGCAATGTGCTCCGCGCCTTAATTAAGAAAGTAGTTCCGTATATTTCTGCAATTTTTTATGGTTTCCGCGTCTTAATAAAATGTTTTAAAGGTATTTTATCGTTAATTAGGATCGTAGGAATGGTTTAGGAAAGTTTAGAAGAATAGTCCAGAAAGTTCAGAAATTCCGTAGGCCCCCTAACTTAAATTGTTATACTGGTGTAGCCTACCCATAATTTAAAATCTAAAATATTTCAGTTAACTTAAATTACCTGTGTTAGTGGAGCAAGGGCAAAAACCTGTGGTACATTAGAAAACTCAATTCTGTCATTACAACTTAATCCAAATAAACGTAGCATCATCTAGGAACTAGTCCGACACACTCAATTTCTTAATGAAATTGATTTACTATAGCCATAAGGGTAAGGAACGTAGGCCTACTTAGAACCAACGTAGGACTCTTGTGAATTACCTCATGCCAGGTCGCAGGTCTTTGTTAGTGGATGAAGAAGGATATTAATCTGGCAATCATGTAGGCCTAGCTAGAAGTGCCATTCCTAGCCAGATGAGAAATATTGTAAGCCTATTATTGCAATGATAGAGAAGAAGTTGACACAGTTTATCTAGCTATGCTGGTGAACAACACAGCCTTGATAGCCTAATAAGGTAATAATGATAGGCCTAAGTGACCATGTGAGTCAAACCGGCTAGTTTCAAATCACGAATGAAGGTCGATTCACACACATCAGTCCAGTCACAGTCCAGTTACAAGTTCAGTTACAGTCCAGTCACAGTTGCATCCGCAATTTCTCTGTCAAACTGTCAGTCATTTGGTTGCAGTCACTCTTCCGTCACTTTATTTACAGTGTTGTTAAAGTAAAAAATGTTTAATTAAAACACAATATTTTATCATATTTTCATCGTTCGTCTTGTTGATTGTTACAAACATCACTTAAAATATAAATTCAATCATTTAGCCTAAATAAAAAAAGTACTATTTTCTAGCCTCAAACACGTCCGTCAGGCGTCCGGACAATCCAAAAATATCGGTGAAAAGAAATCTGAAATTGACAGACGGACGCCTGCAGAGCTACTGACGGGACTGCAACAGGTGAGTGTAGAAAATACCTAAAAAAGATAGAAAATATCGCTATAGAAAATCCATTAAGTTAAAGAATATTTTTGTTAACTGTGACGTGCCTGAAGTGACTGGACTGCAACGTGACGTAACTGATGTGTGTGAATCGACCTTCAAAGAAGCCAATCGGTTGCATTGGATAGGCTACAAATGAAAAGCCATACAATTAATTGTTCTGGTTAATGACTAGCCAACACCTAACTTATTTGGGCCGCAAATAATTTGTAGCCTACACAACTTAAAATTTCAAATTGAACACAAACCATCATCCCCATAGTTTGAATCCTCTGTAACGCAAAAGACAATGATATAGGGTAAGCTTACTTAGATATTCTTCGAGTAGGCCTAACTGAGCCTATTGCATGTCTAAAGACACTGGACCCAGTCTAACCTAAAATAGATTTTCATATTACTAAAGAGAGAGATCATAAAACATACTAGGCCTACTTACCTAAATCATCCATTAGTCAATGTTCACAATCATATACAAGCCACGATAACTAAGTAAATTTTATTTAATTAATCACCAACTTCTTTAAAAAATACGCATTCACTATAATTTACATTCTTGACAGCCAAAGAGCCAACAACATAACATTCCTAGAAATAGAAATGAAAATAAATAAAAGACAAGATTAGCATAGCATTACACTACTGTCTGCGTGCAGAAATGTCACCTCTGCGCACTAACGTTTCTTTGTTGTAGCTGTTCTTTCGTTGCGTTGTGTTACCTTTTGCTAGTAGTAATACTATTCGCAGTTTCGGTTCCAGTTACACAACGATGTAACGGAACGCAATAGTAATTAATTATTTCCCATTGTAATTTCTTATATACTTACTTACGTATTTAAAGTACTGAAAAAAAGTAAGAATAGCAATTTTTATTTTGACAGTTACAGAGCTACTCATTAAGTATGTTAATGATTCTTTAGCTGCCCTGCCTTCCACTATAATCCCTTACAAAATGAAAGTTGGGTTAGAAAGTGCTATCTACTGTTTAGTTTCGTTCAAAAGTAGCAGAAACGGTTACCCGGTAAAATGAGCGTGATCATTCAGCATTCAACCGTTACAATAAAAGTAACAGAAGCTGTTACTCAGCATTTCTGCACCTAGGCAGTTGCTGATTGACATCCTTTTTTTCAGTCCATATATTATTTAGCGACAGTCTATACAGATCTGAGTTTAGCCATGAGTGTGTCGTTGATTATATATAGTTAAGTCAGCAATCAGAAATTTTTTAAACAAAAGGGAGTGAGATAAATCCATGGTTTAAGTAGACATCTCATCTTTGTTAAAATCTTCAAACTGTGCTGATATGTGTTCCTTTATTTGGGGGTGTGTCAAGGTGCCACCAAAACAACCCGCCCTACCGACAAAAAGAAGAAGTATGAGGGGGCGGAATGACGAGGTGGCTCCTTTTTAGGGTGGCACCTTGATATGAGCGTGTATGACAACCCACCATCTCGGAAAAATGTGTGGTAGCGGATTGTCGTGATGGCACAGACGAGTAAGGAGTGGGTAGGAGTGGTGGCGGGTTATCGGGGTTGCACCTTTTCACCTACTTAGGCTACTTGTGGGGGGGGTGGGTTGATGGCACCGAAAATTAAGTGAACACGACAACCCATCCCCTCGTAAAAACATGGTAAGGGTTGTTGGGGTGGCACCTTGTCACCTACGTGTGAGGTGACGGTTTGGAAGTATTGTATGGAGCTTCACGACAACCCAACACCTCTAATAAAAACTGTTGATGTGTTGTCGTAGTTGCGCCTAGACAGGAGTGTGAAAAAACTAGCTAAAAGCTGTGTTTCCGTCACAGAGTATCCCTTCCGACAACCGACCGTAAGATAGAAGAAAAATTAAGGAGGTCGGCTATTTGAAAAACAAAATTTATGTATATGAATGAATGCGGACATTTTTGTTTGCACTAATGGCAGGATATATACATGGTTTATACATACATAATCAGTACCATATTCCCCGCATGCTATTTCTAGATGGTAAAGGAAATCAATGACGCCTAGCTTAGATTGATTTTTCTATTTTAATAAAAGAAAAGAAGACAACAATGGTCGTCGGCTAGCTAGCTGAAGGAAGGCTGATATCATATTATTGTACCATTACCATTACATTCAACTTATACGTCTTTTGTTGTGATATGTTACGTTGTATTTGAACTTTGCTGTGCCTTCTCAGTCAAATTTGTTTGAGAAAATTAAATTTACAAAAACCTTATGGATAGCGAAATCTTCGACAGTGGTATGGCGTCTTTAGACGACAGTAGTAAGGATGCCACACCAGAAAAGCCTAAAGCCATCGTTGGAGACGATGATGCCTACGACGAGGTAAGAACGAGGCTTTAGAAGTTTAGGACTTAGCTTACCTATTTTTTACATAACTCTAGAGGTTAGTATGTTCAATTGAAAAACTCTCAGACTCCAAGAGAAGTCTGATCAAACTGTGTCTGCCTAGGCCTACACTTTGACTTTGCACCTTAACTTTTGAGCACCATTGATTAGCATACAAGTTTCTATATTTGGACATGAACTTGATACAGTACAACCCCGCTAATCCGTCACCTAAGGTACTAGGGCTGCGGTCGGAACAGTGAAAATGTCAGATTATCCGAGGAACAGCATGTGCAGGATTTTTCTCTGACGCCAGGACGATGATGCAGTTTTCCATGACTGCAGAATTTCTCTAGGATTTTGCCACAATCGCGGAAGGTGATACTGTTAGTTTTTCAGTTACCGCGGAGAATATTCAGGATTTTGCTACGATTGTGGGAGACAATGATAATGTTTCTGTTTTCGCAGAAGATTTTCATGATTTTACCGCAATCACGTAGACGATGGTAATAGCCTATCCTCAAGACAGAAGATTTTCAATAGCCTATTCTACACGATCTTGGAAAATGATGTCCACATTCATGGGAAATGGTCATGATGTTACCTCACTTAGGCAACGGTAACTTATATTCCGGATTAAGCGAGGAGTCGGACTAGCCAAGGTCAGATTAGTGGGGTTCTACTGTATCAATACTTAGGCATTGAGAAACCCTAATACAAAAATGTCTCAAATTCCCTAAAGGTCTATCGGCCAAACCACCTTTACTGATACCCCCAATTAAGTTACCTTTTTTTATTGGCTTGGAGGTCAAAAGTATAGCCGAAGTATCAGACACATATTGAATCCTGTAATTTCTCACCAAGCTTTCAACACTTTATAGGCCTAATAAGATCTCTTAACATATTTCCACAATCAAATGAACTTGTGTAAATCTTCTGCAACGTGTCAGTAGGCTACTGTAACCTAAAAGCCGTTTTTTATACCATTGGATCCTGGGAAAAGTGACAACATTTTAATGGTGCTTCTTTACCGGTATCATACTTAGGTAGCTACTTGGATACCATCAGGACATATGGTTCTATTAGCGGGACATTCTGGCTGAAAGCTATGCTGCAAGCTATGTGCTCGAAGCTGTTTGTTGTCTTCTTAATTCAAGCTTAATTTATACATTAGGACTAGGTATGGTTTTGCGTGAAGGAATAGGTTAGTTGCATATTATAAGACTGTAGTTGCAGTTACAATAAGTAGGCCTACCGTAGTTTTCAGGGTAGTCGACCATCACACTAATGTCAAGTAACAAATTAGGTAACTTATGTTAACTCAGCATCTGAATAATTTAACTCATGGGTTACGCCTGCATTATTAAATTTATTTTTATTCTCAGGATATTGAAGATGAAACATGGGCAGAGAGATTAGAGGGCCTGACTGAAATGCTTCCTGATTCAGTTCGCAACTTTTCTTCAAAGGTAGCTAGCATGACAACCGCATCAATCAAAGGTAAAAATATAGGCCATTACAAAAATATGGTTGAGGTTTAAGATATTGCAATATATGACAAGATGAAATGAATTTAGTAGGGCTAATTCATCTTTTTGTATACAATGACATAAATTAAATTGCTTTATTTGGAAGAAATTAGGCCTACAGCCCAAACTTAGTTTGACTCGATTCTCTTACTTGATGTTCAACACCCAAGCTGTTAGGCTTGGCTTTGGTGTCCGTACACTACTTCATTAGCGTTGACACTATCAATGCTTGTTCCGCCCAAAACTCTAAATGTCACAAAAAATATGTTAAAATAACCATGAATTAAATACCTATACCAGGAATCTCATTTTCAAGCTTGAGTGGGGACCCTGTGAGTTGACTTGGAGTCAATAGGATATTGTATGTAGGTACCTAAAGATATTAAATAATTTCATATGAGTAATATTTTTGTCCTGCAACCATGATAATATCTTGTTTGGGTTTCTTTTTTTTCAGGATTATACAACTTCTCCAGGAGTGGTTTATGGATAGTCGCTAGTTCATCTCTCTTACTGTTTGGACCTTTGGTTTTTGAAGTGGAGCGAGCTCAACTGGAGGAATCTCAGCGTAGCCAACAAAAACAGGTTGGGCTTTAATTGTATTGACATTTTATAACTTTGGCAACAATTGAAAAACTGTTATTAGATGTTACCTACAAGATTCTTAACTTGAAAAGTTTTGTGTGGGAATCCAGTCTTTAGATTTGGAAAATCAAGACCAAAATGTTTGAAAGCCAAACAGGTTCGCTTAACGCTGGGCCGCACCGGGGCTACGCCTGCGATTGGTGGGCCACAGCGAACCAGTTAAATGATTAATTTTCTTTGTAAGACTATCTCCATAATGCTACTGTTGATAACTTCATCTGCATTTCATCGATTTATAGAACACGATAGGCGAGTAATTTGTTGACACAATGCATTAGCAATGTATTAACTTGCATACCATTTTTCCTGGAAATATTCATCCGAACACCCGTAGTACCTACTAGAGCATCAACATTACTTCCAGTTGACAGTACACAATAGCCTACATTTACTAAATCTGCCACACAAAAAACAATCAGTCTAACAAACATGTTATGAAGAAGAACCTGGTGGATTAGCTTGACTTCAGAACCTATTGCTTTAGCCAATACTTTTGTGTTGTTTATTTTTGTCTAAAGTAACCTTGTGTATTTTTTTCAGTTCTTACTTGGACCTAACACCATGTCGGGCAACCTGGGTCCAAACATGGCCATGACTTCACGATAATTCCCCCACCGCTCTCTAGTCCAAGATAATACCAAATTCTCGTTTAAAGAAAATTATCGTAGTAGGCAACAAGATAAGCATGTGGTTCCGTGTAATTAGTGTGGTGTATTTAGACGAATGACTACAATGACTGTAATGCATTTCCTATTGTGCTGTAAATATTCTTGTTTTGTTTTGTACAATGCTTCAATTCTGAAATAACGAGTAGTAAAGTGCAAGAAATGTTATAGAAAAATATCAAATGTAAATAAATCGTTCATGACCTGTTATTAACTACAGTTATTTCATTCCTTGTGATTTTAACATGATACTTTATATAGTTTATTCATGCCAATAAACTGAGTGGTCGGTTTCTACTTTATCACTATTTATTAGACAGGTACACATAGATATATATTTTTTAACACAAAAAAATAACAGATAATGAGATTTAATCTGTAATTAAGTTCTTATCCATCCAACAAAAGAGCCACAGTATACTTTGTAACTATTTTCTAGTACCACCGGTACTGTAGTTGTGGACATTGCAAGAACTAAAGATACTTGCACCTGAATTATGGAGGTTCTGGCAGTAAATTTAATTTGTTACGAGAGAATGATACAGTAATCACTTCTCTCATCCAAGTAAAATTAAAACAATGTTAACTTAAGAAAACTAATTATCAAACAATTGATCGTAATAGGCTTCATAACATAACCTACTTTTCTGAGTATCAATAGTCAAAGGTTAATGTTATAGTGTTCTGGGATGGAATACGTTAAAGTGGGAAAATATGGTTATTTTGGGAAGTGTAAAGAATGAAACCCTACCATATAAACATTCAAAATTATATTGGATTATGCAAGTGTGTTAACTTACAAACAAAATAATTAATTTTTCTTGAAGTTAAACACAAAGATTCAACTAAAGTCATTTGTCCCTTGTGCTTTAACTGTTGGCCAAACTGAATAAGGTATACTGTAACACTGTCTGGACTAGGGCACTACTGTATCACCATACCAACCTTACAAACCATAAGCATGTTTGAAGAAGTCACACCTTACAAACAACTATCAGACTTAATATAGAGCACATTGCCTGTGTAAAAAAAGTGTCAGCAAAATTACCATTGCAAAATCTTTGAAATTCATTGCAACAACATACCAAGTTCAGGTAAGTTTTGAGAAAAATGAATTTCAAAATTTAAACAAATAAAATTTTGTTAAATAATTAGGTATGTGTAATAAAATACCCCCGCCGCAGCAAACATGCAGACTTAGCGAATTTCCATTTGCCTGATTGGATTTAAACTAAAATGTCCCCTTAAAAATATCACATTTATTCCCTACTTATTTAAACAGAATTAGTTTAATGAGTACTTAGGTTTGCTGCAACAGGGAGGGTAAAAAAGTTTTTTTATGTAGAATATTAAAAGGTAGCCTACTGTGGTTTAGTAAGAAATTAATGTATTTTTCAACTTTTATCAAAATATGTTCATAAACAAGCAAACTACAACAGTTGACTTATTCACCATAAGAATAACATGGGAATTTTAAAATTACAATTTTTTTGAATTTTCTCCGTAACAATTAGGCGCATAATAATGCTTCAATATAGTAAATTATTTGTTTTTTAAGCTCTACAAAATGGTTTAAAAATAAATTGTGAAATTTTGTGTTTTTAGGGTCAAAAATGGGAAAAACCTATTTTTACCCCCTAAAACCCCCGTTCCCATAGTCCGATCATGCTGGTTCGCGAATTCATTCCAGTTTATCCCGCCTTACACCTTCAAACAAAATGTTATCAAAATTGGACAAAAATTACTCAAGTTATCGTGCGGATGGACATATATATATATATATATCTCTCTATATAAAAATTTGAAAGAATGGTGTTTTTGGCCTCTGGGGACATCAAAATGAAAAAGTAAATCGGTCCCCGGCTTAGGTCTTACCATGAGACCTACGGTAATAGCTACTTCCCTATAGGGAAATTCGCTAAAAGTATGCACATAGTATGCTGTCTTCAAACCTTATCAAATCGCCTAAAGGCTAGGCTTTGTTTGGACGTTCTAAAGAGAAAACGGGTATTTGGTGTCGGTGCACAAGAACATATATTATCAGAAACTCCCTGGTCTGCTGAACCCTCCATTTGCCATGTATGTTACCCATCGAAGTCAATGGATGTTATTTAGTAAATAATTTAGTAATCTCCCTACCAATTGATGTAGTTTTCGAATTTACATTTTTTGAACATAAGTGAGTAGAGGAGGAAAAATCACACTGACTACGGACCTTTTGGATATGATGACAAGCATGTTCAGATCCAAACAAAAAACTGACTATGCATACGTTGGGGAGGTAATTATTTCACTAAGGTAAATGCACCAGTGGCTGACAGTGCTCCAGTAGCTGACAGTTTGAGTTTCTTTACATTATAATGTGGTCTCTTAAAAATATTTACACATGATTGCATTGTTAGAAGAACATATGTTTATTCTTGATTTGTTTACAAAAAAATCAGTTAAATTTAGCCCATACTTGCGGAATGGTGGTGGTTTGAAAGCGACCCTGTCCGTACACATCACATTTAGTCGATTCCCTTAATGAAATTGTTAAGAAAGTTAGTTTGGTTTTTTGTCATTTCGCTAAATTTCTTAAATAGTATTAATGATTAGGCTCATTATTTTGATCAATTATACCTTTGTTGACAATTTCATGAAAAAATTGGGGCGTTAGGGGTTTTGGATTTAAAATTATATCAATGTCAGGCATTGGTACACAAAATCCATACAAGTTCCAATAGCTGACAGGGGATATTTGCTACTTGCACAATATTAAATTGGTTTTACCCATCGAAATTTGCATGCTATTTATAGTTTATGTGATCACAAATTTTTATAAAATGATTTTAATTTTTTAATTAGTAAGCCAAATTATCTAAAAAAAATTTATATATGTTTTTAATATAAATAAAAAATATATATTTTTTTAATGTAAATATTTTTTATTTTAAAATATGTAAAATAAATTTTCTTAATAACGTTTTACATGATTTTATAATTTAATTATTAGGTTAGATTTTATTCGTCTTATAAATTATAAAACCCTTAGGTTTAGCAGCTAGTACATGTATAGTTCCAGTGTCAGCTACTGGGACAACTGACTGTCAGCTACTGGTACAAGCACTTTTTTCACTGTCAGCCACTGGAACATGTACAAAGGTTGAATTAAGTTTAAAAATGTTATAAAATATATTTAAAAAACCCTTTTTGTATGACAAATTTGAAAACTACACTAAATTTAGAATCACATAAAATCCGTAATATCTCTTTAGTTCCTATTTATTCAAAACCACGGATTATTAAGTGCGTATAGTTTCTTATACTGTCAGCTACTGGTGCGTTTACCTTATTCGATAATAATAATCATTGGAAAAAATCTACTCATGCGGCTTAGAAGATGGTAGATTATTAAACAAATTTGAAAATGTTTTGGATTTCTTGTATTTAAAACGTTATTTCAACAAGGCGTAAAAAAAGTTGTTAGCCTGTTATGTGTCCCTAAATTTGCTACCCTTTTTATAGCCTATATATGTATTATTTATAACTAAAGATTAAATAAAGGCTAGCAGATAAAAGATATATCAAATTCTTAACAAAATCAAAATAATATAACAGTTATTGACAAATTTAATAGCATAATACAAAAGAAACAAAAAAATAGAAACATATTACAGGGTGAGTGTTTCAATTATTTACACAGGTCAGTTGTCGAGCTGTGGCTTAAATGTCCTCAACAGTTGGATTCCTTGTCAGAATCTCTGTCATCCGGAAGGTTGATGATGATCTGATGATAATAATTATTCCATACTATTTCTTTAGTAAAATCACTGTCTTTATCCTGTTACATAGTTTTCCACAGTTGATCCAATCTTTCTTGGATACATTTTCAAGAGCATTTTTACGTCTGGGATTTAAAGGGGTTGTTCCTTTCTGCTACCTCTCATTTCACAGTAAAAATGTATTCAATCAGCTTGTTGTTGGCAGGATAGCCAGTCTCCATAAAGAGGTAGCAGAACAACTGAGGAATTTCACCATGCTCATGCTTTCTGTATAGATTTTTGTGACACCTCACAATTACCGGGTGGTTCTCAGATGGTGTGGCTGGGGTCATGAGGGTTGCCCTTGCATTTCAACCACTCTAAGATATCAGCTGTTCTCATCTTCGTTGTAGGGATCTCTTCTTTCAGCTTAGAATGGTAACTTACGTGATCCATATCTATGACGCATCCAAAGTTTCGCAACTGTCTAGACCATTCTCTAAAGAGTTCACTGTTCATCTCCTAGTGGTGTCTCCTGACTCATTTGGGAGAAAAACAAGTTTGGCTCCTTCATCTGGCTAGATCTTTCATGACAAATAATCAATCTTCGCCCTTTACCGATTGGAACGCAAAGTCCCCCTGTAAAATAATTAGTGAATAAATTCTTTATTTAGGCCTGCCAAAGTTAGACAAGCTATAATTAAAATTTGACAAATTCACAAAGTGCAAGTAAAATCATAAAAGCACCATATTATTTATAATGTATTATCCATTATTTACCATTTATTATTTATTTTACATAACAGGCTAACTATTACAATTTGTATTCTATGTCAATCAAATCAAATGTATAACATAATGTATTTTGTTGTAAAAAACTAAAGTGTCATATGTTTACTGGTGATGTATCACAAATTATGTTAACTGTGATGAATAAAACACTTCATTTCATTACAAATGTCCAATAAGATTGCCCCGAGCCTATGCATGATTTAGGGTCACCTCGCCATATGAGTGAATTGCTGTAAAGAAATTAAGAATAAAGATCTATGATACCAATGAAAATTACTGTAGAAAACTTGTTCTGTATTTGCTGGAAAAGGAGTTTCAAATAGAATGTATCGTTAACACGAAGAACATTTTCTGATAATAAAAAATCACACAAACATAAAGTACCTTTGCTAGAATTTGTCTTTCCATATATATTTTTTCAAACTTTTTGCTAACCAAAGTTTCATTGAGGTGTATAATAGGCCTTTGCGTTGGTTTATTCCTCACTTGATAGATTCTGCGGATAGACTTTCATAAGCAGGACTCCATAAAACCGAATGAAATAATCAAACCGAATTTTCGATGTATCGATATTATCCAATATATCGATTATTTCATTCGGATGGTTAGGTTAACCTAAAAAACCAAACTTTTTATATCGAATAAAATAATTGATATATCGAAAATTCAATATTTTCATTCACTATTTTGGAGTCCTACTTATGAATGTCTACCCAATTTTGGGAATAAACTCTACTCTTGATGTGACAATGTTGTCTGTTTCCATCAAGAAACAGCGTCAGTCATTGGATTTGCGACGCTACTTTCTGCACTGGAAAAAAAATTAAAAGTAAGTGCAGTCGCAACCTTTTGCCGGGGATAGCTCAGCCTACAATGGCTGGGTTAAGTTCCAGGGTCTGCGATAAGGTCAGGGAAACCACTAGGCCAAAAGCCGGGTCTAACCGGTATAGGACTGGCTCATACACGGGCACTGTGAACAAGTCAAAAACAAGTCACCAAAACAAACGTGCAATAATCACTACCAGGCCTACGCCGATTCTCCACTCTCCTAGGGGGTCGTTGCTGACTACGCAACTCGGGCTTCGTCCTAACTATCCAATAGTTAAGCCCAGAGTGCCTAAAACACGGTGAGTTACACGACGACTTGCCAATAAAAACCACAACGCGTGTTATCACCAGGCGGGGTCTACTAGGCCACTATAATCCAATACACAACTCTAATGCCCAAGCTAAGAATCAAACAGTTCACTCAATAATCATACCACATAATAATATACAAGTACACTATAGGTAGAGTGACTACACCACTAGTAGCTGGTCTCAATAAATACCAAGCCAAACAAGCAAAACTAAATGGCAATTGCACTATTAAAATATTGAGCTACTTAGTAGCAGATAAATAAATATTAACTACGTTCCAAACACTAGATAAATAATTATATTATCTGATAGCCGGTACTCCGCTATCCAAGCTACCAAGCTAACGTGTTGGATTACTAAGCAAGCTGTTCAGGTTAAATTAAAATAATTAAATGATTAATCAATACCAACCCTACTGCTACTACCACTACTGCTACTACCACTACTGCTACTACAGGGTGATTACTAGGAAACGCATGTTTTTGACTTTCGTAGTACATAATGAATATCGTTTGGCGACGGCCGGCAGTTGTTCCGCTGTGGAGGGGGAAGTGTGCAGTTTCAATTTTTGCCGAGATGTGGAACCTTGAGCATCGTAAGTTTGTCATGCGAGAATATTACGCAAATGGTGATTTTTTTTTTTTTTTTACGCAAATGGTGCACATTTTAACATTGTACTGCATGATGCTATCCCTGATCGTAACAGTAACACGATTTTGCGCTGGATAAATAATTTTAACACAACTGGATCCTCCTGGACCGGCAAGGACAGTTAGTACCCTCGAGACAGTTGTTGAAAGAGTGCGCCGCAACAGTTCAGAGTCCTAGCCCTTCAATTCGGAAGCGGGCATCTGCTCTCGGACTTCGCTCATCCACTGTGAGAAAGATTTTGGCAAAATATCATAAATTTAATCCTTTCGCAGTATGTCATCGATTGAGTCAAGCAGATAAGAGGAGACGTGTTCATTTTTTGTGATCCCAACAAGATGAGGCAACAGTCCATACGGCTCGCATTAGAATGGATTTCTTCAGCGAACATTCCCTACAAGAGTTCTCACGTTTTGGTGATGTCACTTGGCCTTCTCGCTTACCGGGTTTTAGAATTCCAGATTTCTTTCTATGGGGATTTTTGTAATCTAGAGTTTATATAAACACACGAAAAACAATACAGGACCTTAAAGGAGCTATCCGCCAGGAAATCAACGTCATTCCTAGAGACATGTTAGTAAAATCCGTAGCAAGTTTTATGGAACGCCTTCAACACTGTATCCAAGCAGAAGGCGACCACCTTAGAGACATATTTTTTTAATGCTAAATGTAATTAATTTTATTCTGAAATTGCATATTGTGTACACGGTTTTTCCATCCATAAATATATTTTTTGCTCTGAATTACCTGAGTACTCGTTATTTGAAAAACATGCGTTTCTCGGTAATCACCCTGAATATCAACGTTATATTGCTTAGCCGGGCTTCTGTTAATAGGCTAATAAAACTAGCTACTAGCCTACTGGCCTCGTGCTTCCAACTACGCACGCTAAATCGTGCAGCCTAGGTTTGTCGGGCCTCAGAGTTATTAGTAATATAACTAACTCTAGGTACAACGCAAAATAATATCTACTACAGTCAATTAAATTATATTATTTGCGCTCTAGCACCTGCCCAGAACCGTCAGGAATATACTTTTATTCCTGACACCTGTAAATAAATCCTAACTACCGTCAGGCTTTGACCAGCACGGTTACAACTCTAACTCTCTAACTCTCTTAAACCAAAATATAATAAAACGTCGTCCACTCACCACAAGTGGGTCACTGTCTCACTACCCAACTTGAATGCTGACACTCACTCCTTGAGCACCAATCTCACACGACACCGATGTCACCAAAACACTCCACGTCTCACTCGACAAACGCTCGCTCTTCACTGCCCGGGATCCACGACTAGAATGTCCGTCCTAGGCTATCCTGAACATCTAGGATATCCCAGGCTTATCGGCACTGATAAGCCGGGTCAAAGGGCGCTCGCTAGCTTCGCCGCCGCAGCTAGCTCACCTCAACAATCGGTGCGCGGCCAAATAGCAAAAATATACCCCCCTAGGGAAAATAGCTCGTTACAGATTTCTTAAAACTAAGCCCAGCTTTCTCTAAAAATTTCCATGTGGAAATCTCCCCTCCAACAAGAACAACACCAATTTTCCTCCCTCAAAACCGCTCTTATTTGATGACAAGTTACAAACTCCCCCTATTGTAAAATTCAAACACTGTACGCACAATGTCTAAATCACAACCGTACAAGTCTGACCAATTTTTGTGCTCATTCTTGTTTTGAGATAACAGAAATGAGTTATCTTTTGTCTTTATTATTTGAGCGCTTTTGGTTATCCTTGGCAATGAAGATTTGTGCTGTACTGCTGTAGCTTTTTGGGCGTTTGAAAAGACTTGTAACACAGTAGGATTTGGGCTGTTCATAACAAGAACTGATCTATAATATGTATAAAATCCAATGTATGTTTGTTTGTCCTTTATGGACTCCGAAACTGCTTGACAGATTGTAATGAAACTTTCAGGCATTATTAAGCATTATTCAAGGATGGTTTGTGTGAAGTTTGGTGCAGATCCGTCAAAAGGGCTCCGCCCCAGTGGCACTGGAGTTTCCCACGTTAACCTTATGAGTACTCATATTTAAATGGAATTAAAGAATCTTAACAGCTGGTTCAACTAAACAATTTGATTCTGTGATGTTCAATAGCAATAAAAAGTAAATAGGTTTACCAACAGGGTGCAGCACTATTAATTTTTTAAATATAGGACAACAGCTAATTTGTAACCAAAATTAACCTGGAGGTGAGTTAGCATAGCGAACGGGCTAACCTGAAGGCAAGTGAGCGCAGCGAACAAGCTCCAACCTAAAGGTGAGTGAGCGTAGCGAACAAACTTCAACCAGGACGTGATTGAGTCAAGCGAACGAGCTCATCTTGAAAATGAAAGAGCATTTGACATAAAACCTCAATAGGACAGGACGACGTCTGTCGGGCCAGCTAGTAATATATATTATACACTATAGTATGACTATAGTAGTACTTTTGGTTACTGACAGAGTTGTATATACAACTTGCTTGGTTTGTTTCACTAAATCCTTACTTTCATGTGGCATTTTATAAAAATATCTGATTAATAGGAACAAAATGCAAATAGTAAAACTAAATGAGTAAATAACAAAAATACACTAAGCTAAACAAGTGTTGGAGCAACCCAGGAAACATTCCCCTTAAATCGCATAAATTATGGGAATTCAATTCAATTCAATTCAATTATTTAAGATGGGGACGCCACTATGTGCGTATTTTAACCCAAATATGAGTGAAGGATGAGTGGCGCGATCTTGTAGTCTTGTTAGTGACTAAGGCCGACATGTTCCTTAGACACAGCTGTTAATTAATAGCCCATACAGCTAATGGCAACTAAGGGACCTACAGTTTATAGTGGAATCCGAAAGGACTATAATCAATAGTTCGACCTAGAGGTTGGAAAAAACAACAAGATACTTCGTAAAACTTTATTACACATGTAAAAAAAATACAACTATTTACAAATAATATGCTAAAAACACAAGCACGTCATAGTACTATTAACAGGATGTATGTGTTTATGTTTTGTGAAATTAAAGTTTAAGTAAATCTTACCATATGTATGCCTCTACAGTTTCACATTAAATCATGGCAAATTGAAAGTTATTGCAATCAAGAATGTAGTGTCATCTTGCCAAACATACATTTGCCTAGAAAATGTACGTTCTGTACATCTCATCCACGTGAAAACTTGATAAGGGAACCTGAAAACCTTCATTACAAACATTAGCTGTAGAACAATTTATTAAAAGCCAAGTCAGTAATCAAACACAGTTGGGAATTTAAAATATGATCATAAGCAAAAACCTTTATTATTCTATTTCATATTTTGAAGGTCTGATTATTTATTCATGTTTGATAAAAACCCATTTTATAAGCTTTGCTTCAAACTTATGACAAATCGTCTACCCTTCTTTCAAAATATTACATTTCATCATTAGGGCCTAAAGTGACTCTTTATGACACAAGCTCAAGTTCAAACGACCGAGGCGATCCTGAGGTCGGACAATGAGGTAGGATATATAATATCGAGAGTGGCTGTTTTCAACAGACACATTGTGGGATTAAAGTAGCTCTTTTCTCCCTACTGAAAAAAATCAGCTAGAGACAAGGTCACAAAGCATGACCAAATAGCAAGATATAAAACTTACAGCATGTTAATGTATTTATTGATCCACAAATTGTTATGCATGTAATTGATTGTACAAATGGCGATTTTGCCGTAAATAAATAAAGATCATCACCAGCTATGCATTTATATGGTGTAAAATTTGTCTTTTAATTTTACTGAAGAAATAGCTTTTGACTAACGCTCCTTTCACACGTTTCCGCTGTGGTTGAAAACAGAACGATTTAGCGGCGTTATTTTTCTTTCACAATACACGGTTTCTCAACGTAGGTCAAGATGAATTTGATTACAATGTCACAATAAACGTAAACAGTGTCCACTTGACAACTCATAATGTAAATATAAAACAGTGCAACAGCTGATCTATTTGCTGGTGGGTTCCCATTTTACAAAAAACCGTGCAGTATAAAAGCTTGAATTTAACTACATCCGCCACTGACACATGGCCACGGTGCGACAACCTTCCGGTTCAGTAGGAATGGACGGCTGCAAGATGCGGTTGTTTTCTGCCATCGTCATAACTGTATAGTGAAAGTTCCCATGGTATTCTTTACACTACAAAAAAAATAACGTACCGGTAAACCATATGGTGTGAAAGGACCGTTAATGGTATGGTATCATTATGACAATTATTTTCTGTTTATTTAGTGTCATATTGTATCTTTGACTTCAACAAATTTTACATAACTGACAGTAACAGCTGTTTGTATATTACTAGCAAAACAATGAGGAAACCATCCCAGGAGACAACTTATAAAGGTAAACAATGTATACAATTTATGTTTAGTGAATTATTTAGGGTAAATTATGGATTACTATCACAAAAATATAGATCATCGACACAAACAAAAGTACTATTCTGAACCTCACTCATTTTTCTGACCTCAGTTTTGCCTGTGTTTTCAATCTTGCTTGAATAAAAATAAGTCTTTAAACAAAATACACTATTGTATAATTATAAATATTCATTTAAGTTCAATTACACAAAATGTCATTATACATTTCACCAAAAGAAAATTAAAAGAAACAACTGATAGGGGTTTCAACAAAATTTTCAAAATTTGATTCATGTAGCGTACTATACTAACGTAAAATATTCTTTGTCGCTGTTGTGAGTCAAGGTAGCAGCCTAGTCTGTCTTGAGTCGTTTACTAACAGGTTCACTTCCCTGGGAGTTGGAGTCTTCTGAAAATCCCAGCTGGGCAGAAAAGTCAGTAGGACCTTGTGAATCACTGACCATGGAAAAGCCTGGAATGTGAATTATAAATTAACCATAGTACAGAAACACTCTTCACTTAGCACCTCATCAAATGCATGGAGATGATTCTCAAACAGAGGAAATTCTCCTTGCTTGAGAAAACAATCTTTTCTTTTTTCTCTATGGCTGTACCTACTGCTAAAAAAACTTGGGTTCCAGACCATCGAGTTTATCAGTGTGTACGTGTAATGAACTGTGATATGACAAGGACTATATTCTCCTGATTTCAATAACGTGAGTGATGCCCAAAAATATTTATCATACTGTTGTCATGAGTATTGACCTCACCTGAAATACCATGACGTTTAGAAATAGAACTACTATTTCCTTCAGTTACTTAATATGGTTCAATCAATTTTGAACCCACCCCAAAAAATTCAAACAAACCATTTCAGGTTATGTTTTAACACGTTCACTGCAGCTGCATGATGGCTGGCCGCTGCCGAGAGCCAGTACAGCTTATGCACTGCGTGGATGAGTGTGTGAAAAAGTTTGAATTTAGTTTCATTCAATATATATATAAATTTAGCATGAACTGGATCCCAGTCGTTGTGGACATAGTTTTACAAAAACCAAACAGATAGCGGCACTAAACAAAACTGCTAGCTGGCCCTCAGTATTGCCAAATGGAGGGGAAAAACAGGGGCGAAGTACCCGGATACACCATCAAAACATACTGCAAAAAGGGAGCAAGCACATTTTGAGTTTAGGTTCCTTCCACAATGCTACAGTATTGTTATTCTATTCCATGTCATTAAATGTCTAACATGCTACGACAGACACGAAGATGATCAACGCCAACAAACGTGAAAATAAAGCTCTATGGAAAATATGCATTTTGGCGGTAACCTCGACCAACGCAAAATAAAAACCCACTACCCTAACATGCACGCTACAATATGTGTTTCCTTATCAATAGCTAGACAAAATGTAGGCTAATAGTAATAATAATAGGCTAAATACCTTATTTACGTCTTCAATCCTAGTAGTCTTTTTATGATTACTATAGTTTCGGAGCTAACAGCTCCATTGTCAAATCTTTTTGTCTTGTTAAACTACTGTTGACAACATTGCACAATCGTGATAGGTCATTGAGGCAAATTGCATTACGTATCTCTTCTCCATCAACCAAATGGGACAGAACGGCTCCTACACTGCGAGGGCTTGCATCACATGTAAGCACGAGTGGCAGTAATTTAACAAGATAAGAAGATTTGACAATGGAGCTGTTAGCTCCGAAACTATAGTAATCATAAAAAGACTACCGTACTAGGATTGAAGACGTAAATAAGGTATTTAGCCTATTATTATTACTATTACTCTTTATCAATCCAGGAGGCAAAACATAGATGAACAAAATGTAATCACATTTACATTGTCCATGACAAATATCTTCGATCGGAGGCATGCACGCCTGGGCGAGGATGCTGATGTCTCCAATCGGACACATGCTGCAGTGAATATGTTAAAGGAAAGCCAATTGGCTAGTTAAGGACTCTTTTAAAAAGGATTAAGCTCGCTTTATCTGGGAAAATCTAGAGAGTAGGTTGAAGAAGAAATGAAGAGATCTCCGAAGAAGTCCTACACGAGGACAAAATATCAGTGTTGAGTTGTGTTCTTTTTTTGTTTGAATATTTGGCTCTATTCTAATTTTATGAAGTAAGCTCTGAGAGCAGAACATTATTCCTTATAAAAAAAATCCTAACTACACATTTGGTTACTAAAACACTTAAAAAATCATGCATTTCACTAATTAAGATGCTTACATGTATTAGAATCTTCAGCTAGACCAAAATTTGAATTTGAATTAGAGTCCAAGGCTGGCCTTTTGAGCAAACTGTTCTCTTTCATATGATGATCTTTGGTTTTCTTTTTCTGAAAACAAAAATTCACATTTCAAATGCCAATAGGAACAGTGATACAGGTACCGCATATAACGGAATGAAGGTCAACAATATTAAATGTAAAATTGTACAGCCTGTTGTGGTTAATTAATTTGGGTTACTGTCTGCCAGCAGAAGTCCACGAGAAGGGCTTGTTGAAGCCATCAAGGATGCCCCAGAGTAAGGAGGAGTTAAGATCATATATTGGACTAATAAAATTACTACAGTAGATTTATTCCCAATCTCTCTGATAACCTAAGCTCTGCTTTTATGAGTTATTGATAAAAGATATTCCCTTTGATTGGTCAAAGAAATGTGCACTGGGTTTTGTCTTCTGATATTCTTGTAAATTATGATGTCACAAGCCACAAGTGCTTACATGTGATGCAAGCCCTCGCAGTGTAGGAGCCGTTCTGTCCCATTTGCTTGACGGAGAAGAGATACGTAATGCAATTTGCCTCAATGATCTATCACGATTGTGCAATGTTGAATTTTTATGTAAAAAAAGCAAATCATGGCATTAATTTGAATATTCCTCCTAGTCCCTACTAAATCATACAAAATCAATGCAAAATAATTGTCTGGACAAGGAATTTCCGATAAACAACTGTGAGTCATTGTTTTGTGATTGGATTCACCTTTCCCAGCCCTTTAGGGAAGTGGTGCAAGTCTAAATATAGCTTCAAGATCGCATCCACTCGACTGACGGTGACTCTGTTTGAGGTCATTGCCCAACTCCAAAAATATAACGAAATAGGTACAGTAATTTGTAAACATATTTTATTTGTACTTTATTTAACCTGAAATCAGCCATATGGAAACGCATTAATATAAAAAGTGATAATAGAAAGATAAAATATATATTTTACTACGGTTAAAATTATTAAGAATTCGAAAATAAACAGATATCACATATTTGCCTTAATTTGTAATTGTAGAATACCCCCGCCGCAGCAAACCTGCAGACTAAGCAAATTTCCATTTGCTTGATTGGATTTACACAAAAATGTCTCCTTAAAAATACCACATTTATTCCCTATTTAAATAACATTAATTTAACGAGTACTTAGGTTTGCTGCAACAGGGAGGGTAAAATGTGTTTTTTTTTATGTTAATAGTTTAGAATGAAATGAATGCATTTTCCAAATTTGATCAAAATATGTTCACAAACAAGCAAACTACAACAGTTTACTTATTCTCCATAAGAATAACATGGGAATTTTAAATTTACAGTTTTTTGGAATTTTCTCCGTAACCATTAGGCGCATAATAACGCTTCAATATACTAAATTATTTGTTTTTTTAAGCTCTACAAAATGGTTTGGAAATAAAATGTTAAATTTTAAGTTTTTAGGGTTAAAAATGGGAAAAACCAATGTTTACCCCATAAAACCCCCCATAAACACCTGTTCCCATAGTCCGATCATGCTGGTTCGCAAACTCGTTCGAATAAACGTGGGCTTACATGTTTGTACCAAATTTCATCAAAATCGGATGAGTTTTGCTCGAGTTATCGCGCTAACGGACACATATATAAATATATATATATATATATATATAAATATATATATATATATAAATATATATATATATATATATGAATTTGAACGGATGGTGTTTTTGGCATCTAGGGACCTCAAAACGAAAAAGTAAATCGGTCCCGGGTCCAGGTCTTACCATGAGTACTACGGTAATAGCTTATTCCCTATATGGGAAATTCGCTAAAAAGAATAAATACAAATAAATAATGAACTATTACAGCTGTGTGGTACGAGATCTCAGGGTCTCATTCAATGACGTCATATTCACTTCCTGGGTTGGCTGAAGATTGTCAACATTGTACTGGTTCACATAAACAAACACTCAGCGCTCTCTCTCCTGTCTATGAATGTTATGATGCGGAAAAGATTACTGTGCAACGTAATCTCAAGGTCTCACGTAACGCACTATTGTAATAATGCAAGAAAATGTACAACACAGCAAACGTGTTACACCAAACTTTTGAAGTCAATGAAGAGCATAAAATTTGGTTTCAACAAAAATGAACCACAGCAAACACTGCTTTTCCTAGCTAATCTTTTTTGGTTTTAATACAGCATCCAAAATATTGTTAAAAATAATAGGAAAGAATGAGCAGTAACCTATATTACGATATAGCCACTACATTAGTTCAACATGATTGGAGATTACCTGGTCACTTCCCAATACTGGAACCCACTTATAAATCTTCATTGTAGTTTCACCAATTGTTACCCATTTCTTTTCCCTGAAATATACATTTTAAGTTAGTAAATCCAACGTAATACTTTCAAATAATTATAATCAAATTGAGATGGGGACGCTACCTAGGTGTGTATTTTAACCCAAATAAAATTTAAGGATTGGTGTAGAATGGAGTGAGATGATCTTTGTGGCTTTGTTACTAAGACCAGCTGTTTCATTAGCCAAAACCATTTATAATCCTCCCATTTAAAAGCCAAATAAAAAAAAAACCCCTATTTAAAGCCTAAGAGAACTAACCTAGGCCTAACCGTCACAATAGCAGTGTGAGGATAGGTCTAGCCCCTTCCAATACAAAGACATGGAGACAAAAGTGGCAACGCCGCAGTTCACCATTCTGAAAAGAGCTGTTGTACTAACATACTTTCATACTTATAATGGAGCATATGAGCGGTATTTATGTTTACAAGTTTGTTATTCCTGTTATTACGACGGCAACCTCCATAGCAGTGTGATATTGTGACACACCAATGCTGCGGCCTTGAATTAGAGGGGGTTATGAAAAAGACTCTTTTTAAAAATGGCTTAAAATATTTATATTCGGTACATAAATCTCTAATTCATATCATGCTAAAACTAAATTCAATAAGATTTGACTAAGTTCAACCAACAATAACTTAGGCTGTGGGCCCACCACAGGTTCTTGGCAAAGGGTACATAAAATAATTCATAGATAATACTCTCTAATAGTAAGAATATTGGGTGTACTCCTGAAGAAGAATACGCTATACTCCTGGCAAGAAATGTTTGACGAGCCTCTGGTTTTTGTAAATAATACCGCCATACCCGCCATTGTTGCTTAGTTGTAAGTTATATATATGTTTTGTGTTTTTAATGTAAATAAGACGCAATCTATCCAACTTTGTTGGTCAAGGATGAAGTAACCAAGTATCAAGTAAGTAAGTAGGCCTATCAAGTGTAGGGTTATTTTAATGACATTTATTTCAGCCTATCATCGCAGTTGCCTACATCCATCCTGCTGGCTGACTTGTGACATAAAATGAAATGAAATGCTTTATTGGGTACAGTTTCTTAACTGGGCTATGCTAATATCGATAGAAACTATCGAATTGAAAATATTGATTAATAATCGATATTTTTAAATTTATTTATTATCAAATTAAACTATCATAACCTAACCTAACCAACCAAACTTGCTGATGGTGAAAAAATCGCACAAAGGTTTAAACCAATCGAATCGATAGTTTCAATCGATATTAGCATAGCCCAGTTAAGAAACTGTACCCGCTTTATTTTCCATTAGGCATGAAATGCAATAGGCATCGTCAGAACAAATGCGGGAAAAATATACAATTTTCAAAAATTCATAAAAATTAGTGACTGCCAAAAAAAACTCTTGGAAGTCCTGTAGATCAGGGAGATGCATTCAGACCAAACATATTTTGACAAACTTATTAGGCCTAATTCAGACCTTCAAACACGACCACAAAAATTTTAACAAGTCCATAACCTTAAATGATAAATTTGACAGTTATCTTGGAAGCCTAGCTAATCGGTTCTGTCTGTTTCAAAAGGTGTTAGCCCTTAAAAAAAGTCATGGTATACATTGCGGACCAAGTAATTAATTGACTTACTCACCAATGTCTAACTTTATCCACAACTTGCATTACACGTTTAATGTCATCTTTGGCACGACTCCTGGTTTCTGCACGAATAGATCTGGACATCATGATGGCTTGCTATTGCCTCCGAGAGTAATGTGGTTGTTCTTTGATCGCCCTAACTAAAATCACAGATTATAAAGAAATCAATCCATTTGTATTCCAAGTCCATAAAGCTTCCTTCCTTAGAAACAGCACAAATAAATATTCCGTGTATATCTAAACAGTTGGAAATTGAAAAGAGCTGTAACAGCGATGGTGGTGATATTTGTGTTGTTGTTGATGTTGAATGTTGATGGCGTCGGCGTCTGTTGCAGTTCTGTAGTTCTGTGGGTCTGACTGAAGGGAGAAGGGAGGTACAAATGAGGCAAATTTAGTTCAAATTTCCTCCGTGAACAGCGCTGTATTAGAGAGCACAGCAGGCCATGACGTCATCGTTGATTCGGTCGAGTACTCGAGTCGTCAGTCGCCAACTATCGATATAATCGATAGATCCTACTACAATCGATATGGTATTTACTCAGGGGAGGTATAGAAGAGGCTACGATGACAGCTGTGGGCTTCTTATTAGCTGAGGGAACGCCATTACCGTAACAAAACGGTCGGTATACATCGGCCTCGGTGGTCTAATGGTTAGCGTGCCGGGCTGATATACTGTAGGTCCCGGGTTCGAATCCTGCTGGTAGCATTAACTTTTTGTCCAAGATTTTTTTATTATCAGCAAGTTTGGTTGGTTCGGTTCGGTTATTACAGTTTAATTTTATTATTAAGTCATTATACAATTTTAATTGAGCAAATTCTAGTTTTATTTAATAAATTATTAATTATTTTTCCGATTACTAAACTTTTGTTATATTATTTCTTTATCAGCAAGTTTGGTTAGTTCGGTTAGGTTATGATAGTTTAATTTTATAATTAAAAAATAATAAAATTGAATTTGAGACATTTATAATTTTATTTTATGAACAGAACTATTTTTGCGATTAGTTCACAACCCGGTCTGTTCACTTCATTGCCAAAGTGCTCTCTACTACAGCGCTGTTCACGGAGGAATTTAGAACTAAATGCCTCATTCGTACCTCCCCTAAGTCAGACCCCAATCGATATTTGCCCATCGTAGTCGTACGTTTACGTCATCGTAATCGGACCACTGAGCTAAAATTATAATTATAGCTCAGTGAATCGGACTGGTTGGTTTGTGGTTATGTTACGGTTACGACAGACACTTGAAAAAAATTGACAGTGTGTTGTGTATATGGAATATACCGCGAAATCCCTCACCCTCACTATGGGAACATACTCATACTGTATTAACATAAATAATAATTAATCAGTTTGAGTGTTCTTTATCCAAGGTATTAACTTATACCATGCTTATACTCTATTTACAAAAACATTGCCAAACTTAGACTCAGGGGCTTCCATGAAATAAGATCAATCATTTATCAATTATGTTAAATATACCGGTTGAAATAGAAATCTTTAGCTTGAAATGATTGGTTAACTTGGCAAAAAATGGTTTATTTAGGTCCCTTTTTCGTTTTGCTTTTAAAGACTGGTTCAAAGGCATTCATTTTCATTACGGTTCCAAAGCCAATTTATATTAACTTAGGCCAGTTTCTGTCTTGGAGTTAATTTTTAAGAATGCCATTAATAAATCAGCACTATTGATAATTTAAAGCGGACAAGTCTTGCTTTTTTTATTAAGTTGTATCCTCCCAATAAAGAATTTTGAATAATGTATAGGTAGGCTACACCTAACGTACCTAATCGAATATAGGCAAGCTATAACGGGTAGGCTACTATAATATTCCTGTACAAATAATTTCATTTGGTCAAAGATGGTGTCAAGATTTACCCAGGGATGTAAATCTCACCAACCTTTCCACCAGAATAATGATATAGGCCTAGTGCAAGATAGGCCCTAACAACAATCCTAAATTGAAAACAATAATCCTAAATTGAAAACAATAATAGACCCCAACTAATTTGTATGAGTCACAATAGATCCAAAAAACTTACCTTAACTTTGAAAATAAATTTGGCATAAAATAGTTTCAAACTGTAGTTTTTTTAATAAAAAGGATCAACAAAATTGCAGGAAAAGATACGGCACTTACACAACATATCATCCTCTCTTCGCTTCTCACGTCAGATTTGACATTACCGGTACATTACTTTGTTAGATAAAATATATTATTAAGTCTAAGAAAACTGCTATTAACAATATAAGAGGTTCTACCCGCAAATTCACGGGTATACAGAAGCCACCATTAAATTAATTTAATCAACTTTGACTTTATATTTCATTTAAAGGGCCCAAGTTCGAGAAATTGTCATCTGAAAGGATGGTAAAAAGCATTGGAGCCTTCAAACCTTACGTCCTAAGGTGGGTAGGGTTGTACCTGAACTCGCCGCTCTCTTTCACGTCTTTAATACTTTACTTAAATACTTGTCAATGAAATGGCGACCTGTTAAAAATCGGTTACAACCTCTTGGAACGAACGACATACATGGTTTGTTAATCTCATATTCATCGTGTTTCGAACACCTTTAACCACTCACTCGTATCAAACGGCTAGAGATAGCTTCACTGTCTATTCACCGCACCTCTTTTAAGAACATAAACCAACAAACTATATTGTAAATTGCATTGGCCAGCTGTTGTTCACTAAATTACTCAAATAACGTTAACTTCCAAAACATGCAAGGCGTAGGTAGCCCTTTGGAAATCAGTCTGTGGGACAGACCTCTTAGGGAGTTTGTCCATATCAAAACTTTTCAGAAAATCTACACACTCTAAGCTTCATTTTGATATTCCATATGTCTATATTTTTATTTGGTAAATGACCTTAACCGTTTACATAACATTTGTTTGCATCACTTTAATATATTCCTACCCATATAACACATGTACATACGATTGAACATTAAATTGATGTTCAACTGAATAAATACTGAATAAATAACTGAATACTGAATATACTTTAGGTTAAATTAAGATTCAATTGGACATCTAGTGAACATCATATGCACATTCATGTTTGTACAAATTAAGACTATTTAACGTTCAATTATTGTACAAACGTCACAAACATCGATATACATATGATGTGCGTATCTCGATCAATTGATGATCAATTTTACATCAAATTGTTATTCAATTTAGGTTAAATTAAGATTCAATTGGACATCTAGTGAACATCATATGCACATTCATGTTTGTACAAATTGAGACTATTTAATGTTCAATGAATGTACAAACGTCACAAACATTGATGTGTATATTTAGTCCAATTGATGATCAATTTGATATAAAACTGTAATTCGATTTATGTACAATTGGACATTACGATTATTTGACTAAAACAGTGAAAAGCTGCAATCTTTGGTGACACAACAACAATATACACAACAACAATAAACAAATATAATAGATTAACTTAATTATCGGTATGATTGTAGTCAATATTAATCATGCTGGGGTCTTGAATGATCAGGACTGCTTGTCAAAGAGTAGAGTTTAACATTATTCATTTTATTTAAATATTTGCATAGGCCTAAGGCATTATTATTTCAAAATATTCTAATAAGAACGTGTAATAAATTGACGTGACAACAAATCAGCTAAGTTATTAAAAACACACATTATCTTCGAATGTAAATGTTCCGGGCTCCTGCATGTGCTGACAGTTTAATCGGTTAGTATGAAAAACACAAAATGTGAACACATCGACAGTTTGATTGCCGATACACATTGAAGTAGCCTTCACAAAATTTAGTCTATAAGTAAGTTAGGCCTACTTTGTTCTTACTAATCAATTTTAGTCGTTCATATTTATAATTTGTCGATTGGATTTGATTCTACGACTAATGATAATAACACTTTTGAATAATTTAAAACAATGATATTGCATTGTGGTTGGGTTGGGTTAGATAAGGACTCAGGGTCTCGGCGCGTCAACCATAGCGTATTATGCATTACATTCTTACTTTTGTTTTACATTAAATAGGCCTAGGTCTACTCAATGAATGTACCATTATTGCTATATGATTACCGTAACTAATTGAAGGTGAAATAACTTAGGTACCGGTAATCAATAGATTGACTTGTTTGTAAACACCAATAGTAATATGAGGCGATGAATTTGAATATCAAAGTTTTAACTCAATTAGCCTACACTATGTATTGGCTAAATCTTAGAGGGATATAGATAGTATTAACTTAGGCCTATTATTATTTGAAATTGGTTAAGTTCACTTTGGTTTTTTTTTTCAATTTGTTTGGTTATAACTTTTATAAGTAAATAAGGCCTATTGCTTTATAAAAAAAAAACGCAGATTAGAGGATACGCGTCTGGTTACCGAATGTGGATTACTTAGGCACCCGGCATTGACGTCACCGGGTTGTGGGGGACCGGAACACCATTTCCACAACGATACGATATTTAGCCATTGGTGTTCGTGGTGTGTAGATAAAGTACATGGCTGATGTACATGAGGTATCTAGATCGAATCACATCGGTGATAGGCCCTAGAAGTTACCAACTTTTTGTCAAAGATTTTGCTTAGAATCCCATTTCTTCTTAACTGTACATCTTTGGTTAGAATTTTTGGCATTTATTTTTATTTTATGAACAGAATTTAACCTTCATTTGATTTGTTCATTAACAGCAAGTTTGGTTGGTTAGGTTAGGTTATGACTGTAGGCATAACTGCCGGACGCATAATCCACGTCCACGGTCCCGGTTGCGTATCCTCTGCGAAAAGGATAACTTAACCTAATGTTATTCTTAAGCAAGTGAGCAAGTTATTCTTAGAACAAAACAGAAAACATTTTTTTAGTTTATTATGAATTTCTGTAGGCCTAATTTATAAGTTAACTGTAGGCCTAAGTTTATTCCCAGCATACAAATTAACGATAACAAAATTAAATTTAAGATGCTCATGATACTTAAAATCAATAAATTAGTTTCACATACCGGTAGGCTATTACCACTTATGTTTTATTAGTAATAAAGGGTACGGTACAGTTTCTTAACTGGGCTATGCTGATATCGATTGAAACTATCGATTCGATTAGTAAACCTTCATGCGATTTTTTCACCGTCAGCAAGTTTGGTTGGTTAGGTTAGGTTATGATAGTTTAATTTTACATTATAATAGATAAATTTTAAAATATCGATTATTAACCAATATTTCCAATTCGATAGTTTCAATCGATATTAGCATAGCCCAGTTAAGAAACTGTACCCGTAATAAATCTTGTAATAAGATCTGGGTACAGTTTCTTAACTGGGCTATGCTTATATCAATTGAAACTATCGAATTGGAAATATTGATTAATAATCGATATTTTTAAAATATATATTTTTTTTATATATTTTAAATTTTTTAAAATATATCTATTATAAAATTAAACTATCATAACCTAACCTAACCAACCAAACTTGCTGATGGTGAAAAAATCGCATGAAAGTTTGCTAATCGAATCGATAGTTTCAATCGATATTAGCATAGCCCAGTTAAGAAACTTACCCTAAGATCTAAAACCCTTAAAAATTTTGTTGGATTATTTTATTCTCAGTTGGCCTATGTGGTGATTCACAAAAGTATTTACCTTGCCTAGCCCCTAGCTGCATGCCATTAATGTATTTTTAAAACAACTATGACAATCGTGTGATGTGTAAATAAGTTTTAATGGAAAATAAGATTAGGTAAGTTTACTGGTCTAAAAGCTTAAAAACAGGTTGATAAAAGGGCCTAAACGTACTTGATTTCTACCTCAACAAAATTAGCAAATAAGAATACTTACTTGAATACTTGATGTCTTCATCTTTGACCGACATTATCGGATAGATTGCGTCAATTTATTTATATATACAATTTATACAAAAACTAATATTTACAAACACTATACTACAGAAAAAATTGTGGCATGGCGGTTTTGAATAATTAGGTCCAGTTACCGTATGTCAGAAGAGACCCTCTGTGTAATTTAATTAGACACTCAGGTGTGTGTTGTAAGTTACGGGGGAGGCCGAGATTTGTTTGAATGTCCTGTTTTTATTCTGAAACAACCTGGTCATCCTACTCTGGGCCTGACTTTTACAAACACAAATCAATGACTAGCCTATGCCTATATTAACTAAGCAAATCAGGTTAAGATTATGTTTTTCTGGGTTTGGACTATCATGTGGTCCATAATACAAATTAAAAATAGCCATAACTTAAGCCTAATTATTAATACCTCAAAAGTTAATTAGGAATAATTACTTACCTTTAACTTTAAACTGTATGTAGGCCTATAAATAAATAGTAAACTTAAACTTAGTAACTTAGTTGAAGTGAAGGAGGAGAGTGATGAGGAGGAAAGCACATAAACATAAACAAACGGCAGCCGACAGCCATACAATAACGAAAGTCGAAACGATACGATAGTGATAAACTTAGTACGAGTACGATATTCCACCTTCAACAGATCGCTCAATCGATTACGTCAACAACTTTTTTTCTGACAGGTGACGTCATCGAATCCTCTTCTGTACCTCCCTTGAGTAAATCCCTAGTTCTGTTCAGTCAGTCTGTAGTGTAGTGTAGTGTTCGGTTCAATTGGTTCTGTTCGGGTTCGGATCGGATCAGACTGGTTCGGACGCGGGTCTGACTTAGGGGAGGTACGATTGAGGCATTAGTTCAAAATTCCTCCGTGAACAGCGCTGTTGTAGAGAGCACTTTGGCAATGAAGGTTTACTAATCGCAAAAATAGTTCTGTTCATAAAATAAAATTATAAATGCCTCAAATTCAATTTTATTATTTTTTAATTATAAAATTAAACTGTCATAACCTAACCGAACTAACCAAACTTGCTGATAATGAAATAATATAACAACAGTTTAGTAATAGAAAAAAATAATTCTGTTTAGGCCTATTAAATAAAACTAGAAATTACTCAATTAAAATGTTAATGACTTAATAATAAAATTAAACTGTCATAACCGAACCAAACCAACCAAACTTACTGATAATAAAAAAATCTTGGACAAAAAGTTAATGTTACCAGCGGGATTGGAACCCGGGACCTTCGGCATATCAGCCCGGCACGCTGACCACTAAACCACCAAGGCCGTCGGCTACACCTGGTTTTGTCACGGTAATGGCCTAACCAACGGTAACCACGGTAACCTGCCTAAACCAACAAACAACTAGCATCACAGACTCACAGACTACGGAACAAAAGTCTGTGCTGTGGTTCCCCTTTGTTAAAAATGAAATTTTGACAATTAATTGTAAATGAGTACATTTTTCAGTGTCTTGTGGCAATAAAAGCCAGACAAGACTCTCTTCATGTAAATAGCGATGTACATAGTTATGATACTAGAAATAAGTTTGATATCTTTGTACCTAGAAATAGGCTTCAAAAATCAATGTGTTCTTTTCCTGTTTCAGGCATTAAACTTTTCAACAAATTGCCCCAATGTACAAGAAATTTACACACAAAAAAATTCTCCACTTTTGTAAAAAGTTGGCTCACTCTAAATCCTTTTTACCACATATCCGAATTTTTCAACTGCGACAAAAGCAATCTGGTGGCATTTGATTCATTTTCAGGTACCTGCATGGTTTGTGCATGTTTTCTTGTTTTGTTTTTTGACTAGAGCTTATTTATTTTAATTGTTTATTGTGGATATGATTTTGCATGTTTTGTTTATTTAAATGACGAGCCTATTGTACTTGTTGTATTTAATGGCAATAAAGACTTATGACTTATGACTTCCCGTTTCCAAGTATAGTAGTCCTGATTATAGTCGACTAATTCCACGGCCGCCTTTAACTACAGGCCGCACCCTGGTAGAATTGGCAACGTTGCAAGTGGTGTTGTTCAGTGACAGACGTCCCATAAGATTACATGGCAGACATGTGACATAAGCTCATTATTTTGCACTTTATTGATTTACATTTAAATTTATTAAAATATTGAAAATAAAACATACAGAATTGAAAACCGAAACAATATGAATTAAAATCTATATCTGTACATTTTTAAGCAAAGTCAATCCAAACAAAGCAAAGTTAGTCCAGTAACCAATCTTTCGTAAATACACAAATACCACTAGCTGCTTCCAACCAAAACAGCTTTTACAACACCACTTGCGACGTTACCAGTTTAAAGGCCGTGGCCTGGAGTTAGAGGTGGACGTGCTAATTCCGAATAGCAGGAATTTAATTTAAACTGGATTGTTATTAAGTAATAACCCAATCTCAATATCGATAAATCAAACCAAATACTAATTTGACGGTTACAATGAGATGATCTTTTGTTTGCAATCTGAGTGACGTCAAAATATGACGGGAATAGCACACTTATGTATTTTCCTACCACCATGGATCACTACTACTGTTTCCCGGTCCCCCGATTTCAACATGAATGAAACCCGGTTTAAGTTTACTCAACTGTTCAACTCACAGATCGTGGTCAAGCTCCGATAAACCATATTACCCTTTTTTTTAATTTCTGTTTTTCTCCTCTGGGTACATCAAAACAAAGTAAATTCGTCTCGGGTGCAGGTATTATTACCATGATAATTGATACTTATGGTTGTGACGGCCTGGCATATTTGCCTCATTTGGTTGTAATTTGTTAACTTTGAGCTTAAGCTGATTGGCCTTACTCCCTAAACCTGGCCCGCTGGCTATCACCGAATATTTGCTAGGTTGATGTGTCGACCGTATTTAGCAATATTGAATTTTATTTAACTTCACATAAGTCTCCAAGTGAACCTTAAAACTCATATTCCAATTCATTTCATTACTTTGTAACCCTACAATAATCCTAACCAGACGTCGTGGCCTGGCCGGATATGCCTTGGAATGTGCTGAATCTGCATGCACGTGTGCCGCGATAAACAATGTTACACTTCTAGACTCGGTTCCTCAGTCGCTTCAGTTAGTTTCATTAATGACAGTTGTAATCGTTTGGCTGCAGCACCTGTCAAGCAACTGTCCTGTTATTCGATAATTAATAAAATTAGTTGATCCCTATTCGCTTGTTTTAATGTTCGTTCTTCCTGCTCCCAACCGCTACGAAGACTAAAGAGGGCCGCTGTGACATGGTAATAGCTTATTATTTTGATGGGGAATTTGCTAATTCATTTTTCTTAGCTGCGCGTGGCAGTGGTGGATCTAGGACAGTCAAAAGGGCGGATGAACCAGGTGTTTGGGGGGGGGGCTTCGGGGGCACTCCCCCCCCCCAAAAAAATGGCATTTTTGTACCATTTCTTTATCCAAAGTTAGTGTGACAAATTATTTTACGCAATGTATATGCACTACATATTTACAATATTTATACTCTCTTTTTTGGAGAATAAATATTTTTTTGCCTGGCTTGATGAGCCCCATACAGTAATACCATAATTATTCATAATCGATGAAAAATATGCGTGATATAATGCGTGATACTGGTAGTATCCCAAATTATTGTGAGAACAAATGTTGCTGAGCGTAGTCTTTTTTCAATTCATTTAATTTCATTTCAATATCTTTATTCAATAATTGTACATTGTACATTGAATAGTGTCAAATTCCTAACCTAGTAAATACAGTTATAAGCTAAAATTACAATTTATAATACTAAGAAACTAGCAATAAAATCAGGTTAATTGAGGAAACACGTAAGCAAAACACGTCTCCTATAATAGTGGAGTGTTTTGCTTAGAATTCACTTATTGCTATTTCAGTCAATTAAAATCGCATTTAACTCAATAACACGATCTATATCCACTGTAACACCACTGTACAAAAAGGTACTATAAAGTTAAATTTTGTCGACACTAGCGTTCAGTGTCACCAACAATACCTAGACACTACAAATTAGTTTCACAATTTACAATGGGATGATAATTCTATACTTTAATAAATAAATTTAAACTATTTTTTGTTACGTGTTTTATGTTTCTATGTGCTTTTTAATCTATGCTATTTATTTTATAACCGTTTGTTCTTAAATATACATTTCTGACTTTAGTTGTCTTGGGCCCAGAACGGAACGGATGCTTTTCTTTTTCTTCTCTGCCTCCAAATCTTCGGCTGTGCTGCTGTGCTGTTTTCGGTCGGTTTCGGTTTGTTCGTTAGAATTTTGCTCTTGCTTTCTCGTTTTGTTAAAGTTGAACATGAATTAAGACTTTAATTTTGAGAGTTCTTAACGTATTAGTCATTACTTCAATTGTTTTTATTAAGTTTTTATAACACTGCTTAAGATTTTATAAGGAGCTAAAATGGCTCTAAATCCAGCTTATGAAGCTATTGGCAAGGGGTTTGTTCAGCAATATTATTTGCTTTTTGATGACCCTGCCCAAAGACCGAATTTGGTGAACATGTATAACGTGAGTTATCTTTAATTTTTAGCAATTATTAAGTTAAGTTTAACCCTCTGGAAGGTTTAAGCCTTTGTGGGAGATTCTAGAAGTTCTTATCTCTAACATAACCTTTATCTCCTTAAATTTCTAAGTAAACCAGGTTACAATAGGCCTAGGCCTAAATGCATCCTCATCTAAGTACTTTTATATTATGTAATTAATACATTCAATTTTACGATGGATGTGGTTGTAAGTATATTGTGAGGTAAACAAACAAACATAGGCCTATTAGGTAGTGTAAAAGAATACATCTTCATTGATATCTTGAAGTGGCCGGCTGCACTTAAGTTTACGTCCTAGGCTACACTCATTAGTATGAATATTTCAATCGATATATCAAGTTTTGAAATGAAATAATCGATATAAGTTATAGAATAATCTATAGGCATAACTTATATTTAGGCCTACATTTTTCATTCGAATGAGTGTAGGACGTAAACTAAAGTGCAGCCTTAAGGCAATTTGGACATCACTGTTACTACAACAGTGTTGCCAATGTCCGGGGAATTACCATAATTACCACATAATTACCATCCTCTTGACCGTTGACCATTTCTGGATAGGTCGCGTCAGTAATGATACAAATATCATAAAACTTACAAAAATAAAAAATATACTTCAACATATAATTATTATTAATTAACTTGAGTGTCAGGCGGCATAAAAAATATTAAAAAACTAACTGGGCTTTGAAGTAATCCTCCAAGGAATAAAAGCTTTGTTGGCAACACCACGACTTTAACTTCCTTTTGAACAGTTTCGGCTCCAGGTTCTTAATGTTCTCAGGCAGTCTATTAAACATTTTACAAGCCAGTAGTGGGAAACTGTCCTTCACTTTAGAAGTGCGGCATCTGGGAATAGAGATCAGGTTGTTGTTTCTCAGATTGTGACCGTGAAGCTGCCCTCTTATTTGAAAATCAGCTAAATTCTCTTTTACGTAGAGGAGGGAGCTCAATACGTAGTTCCCATAGACTGTCAGGATGCCAAGCTCTTGAAATAAAGGTTTGCAGTGTTGCCTATACTCAGCCCCTGTCATAATCCTCAAAACCATCTTCTGGTACAGGAGGACTCTCTCACATGCTGCAGAGTGCCCCCACAAAAGCAGTCCATAGGAGATGTGTGTATGGAACAAGGAGTGATAGATGACGACAAGATACTGCAAAGTGACCAAATTTTTCAGTTTTCTGATCAGGGAGATTACTCTTGACAGTTTCTTGCACACCACGCTGACATGATCATTCCAAGAGAGCTTGCTGTCTAGATAGAATCCAAGCAGTTTCACTGGCTGATTTTCTACTTCAACTCCCGCGAGGGAGCAGATGAGCTGTTGAGTCTTGTCTTTGTTTAGACTTAGTTTGTTATGCTCGAACCATGTACTGGCTTTACTGAGGTCGATTTCAGCCTCCTGGAGCAGCATCTGAATGTCATTGTTGCGAGAAATTATTGTTGTGTCATCAGCAAATAAAAGGCAGTTAATATCATTTCCAAGGTCGTTAATCATGACAAGAAAGAACAGGGGGCCAAGTACTGAGCCCTGTGGGACACCATGCTCAATTAGCTTTTTACTAGAGCTAACTCCCTTCACTGTGACAAATTGTTGCCTGTTCTCAAGGTAAGACCTGAGTGTAGCAAAGACTGTGCCTCTTATGCCATAATGATGGAGTTTATCTAGCAGGATTTTGTGAGAAACACAGTCAAATGCTTTACTCAAGTCGCACAGGGTGAGTGCAACCGCTTCACCACCTTCAAAAGCCTCATAGACACAGCTCACCACATCTTTAACTGCTGTTGAAGTGGATCTTCCTGATCTGAAACCATGTTGTTTGTCTGAGAAAATAAAATTTTGTTCAAAAAAGTCTGTTAGTTGGATCTTGATTACGGTTTCGACTACTTTGCTCAGAATGGGAGTGATAGATATAGGCCTGTAGCTATTTAAAAGTTGCGGGTCACCCTTTTTGTAGATTGGTACTGTCCGGGAGATCTTGAGTTCATCGGGAAAAATACCTGTGGCTAAGCAATAGTTGACTACAGTAGCAAGAGGAGATGCAATGGTATCAATAATCTTAATTAATATTGTTGTAGTCATTCCATAGGCATCACTACTTCGCGAGTGCCGAAAGTTCTTAACAATTCGAGTTATTTCCTGCTGGTTAGTAGACCTCCATTTATCAAAAACTAGATTAGGTTGAGGTTGGACACTAGTGGCTGCTATACTTTCTGGAATGCCTTCAACAATCTCCTTAACAGCAGTAATAAAGAAAGAGTTTACCTGTTCAGGGCTGGCTGAGCATTCCACACTTGCCGTTTTCCTATGAGAGTTGACAAGACTCCAGGCTGCTTTGCAAGGGTTTGGGGCATTTTCAATAAATGCGATGTTGGCGGCCTTCTTCGCTGCATCTACCTTGATCCTGTAAAATCTTTTTGCGTTAAGGTATAGGTCACGCAAGTTTGGTCTATCCTTACTTAGGTCACTTAAGAGCAGAGTATATGATCTTAGCCTAGTCAACTCCTCCGTGTACCATGACTTCCCTCTTGGACCAGAAGTTCCACAATTTTTTCTTGTTTTGGTAGATTGTTTCCTGTATCTCAAGGGAAATATTTCATCAAATATTAACTTCAATTGATCAAAAAAAAGGTTAAAGAGACTATTGTTATCACATAAAACAAGATTCCAGTCAACCCTAGCAAGTTCTTCAGCAAAAAATGTAATTAAATTTTCATCTACTTTCCTGTAAGAAGAGAGAGAGGCCTTATTGCTAGTCACCTGCTTTTCACATACCTGCTTACAGCTGACATCAGTGACTACAGCATCATGGTCGGCAACAACACATTTTTCTACCTTAGTTATGTGATCCCAGATGTTGAAGTTAGTTGCAACGCTGTCCAGGCAGTTTCTTCCTCTAGTAGGCACTGTGTTTCCCCAGTACAATCCATGAGACCTCATAATCTCAGTAAGACTCTGTGATCTTGTGGAGTCAACATTTAATGGGGTATTAAAATCCCCACCAATAAGGATCCAGTTGATTTTACTAGAAAGATAGTCCAAGCAATTATCAAGCAGAGCCAAAAAGTTATCAAAATCACCATTGTCTGAGTGGTACACTGACAGCACTGCCAATGAATAATCATCAAATACTGTCCCAACAATTTCCAAATCAAAATCAACACAAAAATCATTCAAATCAAGATTATGACATTTGAGTTTTTCATGTGCGTAAATAGCAACCCCACCGTGTATGTTATTTTTCCGGCAATGGATGTTGGCAAGTTTACAGTCACCTATTTTTGAGTAAAAGCTTGATTCATCTTGAAAAAGCCATTGTTCATTTATGGCAAAGATATCAGGTTGAATAAAATCCATAAAACTCTCCACTAGATTAAACTTAGTTCGCAGACATTGAACGTTGAGGAAAACACACCTTAATATAGTACTATTTGCATGTGTACTGGGCTGGGTGGGTGTTAAGCTAGCCTCCCCATTGGTCAAACCTAATGGAGAGGGGACAACCCTAAAAAAGGATTTTCATTTTCTTGCTGACTTCCATCTTGACTCGTCCTCTTCTTCCTCGGAAAAAGGAAATTACTTACAAGAATACCTTTAGGCCAGTTTTCCGCCTTTAACAGTTTCACTTTGTCTGTTGAAGGCACTGAGACTTTGAATGACTTATATCCAGGGTACTTTGTCCTCAGTTCCAGACATGTGAAGCCAGCACCACAGATATTGCTAATATGGTCCTCCATTGCTTTTAAGGTTACATTACAAGCCACTCTAGACACAAATATATATGCCATTTTATCCACGGCCATCAGGTTGTCAGATGACGCAGCATTGCCAACTACAAAATTATCATTTGATTGTCCAAAATTATTTATATTACTATGTACATAGGTTGCAGATCTAAATATACTTCTAGACTTGGTGCTGGATGTATTCAAACTAGGCCTATTATTCTTAACTGCTTTGACTAAGTTAAGACTATCATTAGGCTTTGACCCATTTTGACACACAGTAGGCCTACTAAGTGAAACCAAAGGACTAGGGTTAGACCTACATAATGGACCTGGGATTTTCTTAAGAGTCTCTGCAAAAGAAGGCTTGCACGGTTCAGCAATTTTTGGTGAAATACTATTTTGAGAGGGGTGAAACAAGTTTACATCATTTTCAAGCCCTTCCGAGCATGTTTTGGGCGTGACCATACTATCAGAGGTTACCTGAATACACTTACTAGGCTGACAGGTGTTTCCAATTAGATCAACTGATTCATCATTGACAGAGTTAAGAGACTTGTCTGGCCCTGAGCAAAGACTGATTTCCTTGGCCCGGCTTACAATTGAACCTACATCTAGGCCTAGGCTAGACTCTTCACTCTGACTAAGATGACTGGTAGGATTTACATTAGCATTCTGGTTAATATGAGATTGGTTTAAAATATTTTTAAGATCTTCAAGAGCACTCAGTCTTTGGTTCACTAACAAAAAATCATTATTTAACTTTTCAATCTTGCTAGAAAATGAACTGATTGTAACTTCCAGTTCAGGTTTACTCCTGTCACTTTGCAGTGGATTGCCTCTCACAATGTGAGTTTCTAGTATTTCACTAACCTTATCCTTGCAGGTATAACAATACCACAAAATCTTGCATTGTAACGTATGTATCTTTTGATATTCATTTGCCAGAATATTTACACAAGTTATGTGAAACCATTTCTTACACAATCCATCGCATAAAAGCCATTTTTGATTTCCTTTACCCACTTTTTCACAAACACCACACAATTCCTCCTTTCCACTAGCCGCCATGACACTTTTTTTTTTACCTGGAATCCGGGTAATTTGTTCTCATTCCATCCATTTTCAGGGGTTCTGACATTTCTGGGGAATTGCACTGGTTTAGTCTTATTTCCATCAGTTCTATACGCCCGGAAATATTTTAGTTATCTACAAAAAAGTCCAGTAATTTTGAATAATAATTTTGTGCAAATTGACTTTTAAAACACCGCACAAATCTGCTACTCCAGGTATAGGTAGCCTACTCTGTGAGTCAAGTTTCTTCTTTATCTCCTGGCCTCAACGCAGCGGTGTCCTGACAAAAGCAGCTGACGTGATGTGTTGTTGATTGATTAAAATGAAAGGCTGTCACAATTTTTGTTTTGTAATTTTTGAATAAAATTTATTTGTAACTATCCTTGCCTAGATATTTGTCATATATCACTTTTCCCACTCCCAGATACATTTAACATTGTAGGCAAGTCAATTTATTCGAGATATGCTAGAAGGCATCATTCTATATTAGGTAAACAGACAAATTTGCATTTCATTTTGCTTGAATCAGTTGTTTCAAACTGCACAATTATTCCTTCCTAATCACATTTCAATAAGTTCCTTTAGGCTATTTATAAAAGGATAGTTTTCTTATATAAAAAAATCACAAAACTACACTAACTAGGCTAAGTTTTTGTATTCACACTGACGTTTTCTCTCCAAAAGCTTCAATTTAAGCATACGATGCCTACTTTGCACTATTTGAGAGCCACATTAGGCTAGATTTTGTTTGTATCAGCTTATGGGAATCTGCAGCAGTAGGCCTATACCAAATCAAAAATTCATTCATTACAGAAAAATGCTACCTATTTACAAACTATAGAAACCATCCCAATAACTCCAGGGCAACCCTTTCTTCATATCATATAGAATCCAACCATCCCATGTCTCTCTATCCTAGAAGAGCGTAGCGAACGAACTTCAACCAGGACGTGATTGAGCCATGCGAACGAGATCATCTTGAAAATTAAGAAGTTAAATGGGGCAAAGCCCGCGGGTTACAGCCAGTAGTACTTAAATATAATTATTTTCCAACCTATATTCTGTTGACTGTAACAGATTAGTAGAATGATACTTAAACAATTCTGGGGGTATGAATTGATATTTCCGGGGAATTCCGAGGAATTTTTGAAATCTTTCTGTCGAATTCCGACTAGTCGTGTTGGCAACACTGCTCCAAGCAAACAATGTCAAAAAAAAGGCAGCCGGAGAGCTGTAAACTAAGTTATCTCACTGCGGCAATCAAACCAATGTTTTTTTGTGTTAAGGTATGCTATAGACCTACATAATACAATTTTCATTCTAATCTTGCAACCAAGTTACCTAATGGTACTGGAATATTATTATGTTGAATTAGAATAACTCAATCATCACCACAATTGCAACAGAAAAGCATTTATCATTGGTCTTTGTTTTTTTTTTGTTTTTTTTTTTTTGTAGGTCTACGTAAGCTATATTTCTACTTCACAAGTTAAGTTATTAACCTAATTTCAAACATGTATCATCATAAACCATCAATTATAAGTTAACTTATTGCATTTGTTCATTTCTCACCTATCCCTATGTATATTTGATTGAAGAAAAAGTTAAATTTTAAAAACTAAATTGAATTCTCCCTACCCCATTTCACAACTAACTTAGCTGGGCTAACTTGTTTTGTAAGATTAAACCTTGAATAGAAGTTAGAGATAGGTAGGCTACCAGTAATAGCTTTGTTTAAAGCTAGGGCCTAGGTCTACTAGATGGGTAAAGTAAGTTAATAGGCCTTCAACGACTATAGTTTATGTTCATTAATCTATTTAAGACATCAGTACCTGGGGACCGAGCTTTGCTCGGGGAAAATCATTAGTTCACTCTGAAAGCAGTCTTAGTATTGGAGATACATAAATCCATTCCCAAACTCCACACGGCTCGCCTTTACTACGTCCTACACCATTTCCTACGTCATGGACCTGTTTCCCTGCATTCCCATAGCACTTTAGGATTTTAGATACCTTAATCTAATCGTTATTAACAGATACCACACTCCGGACAGCTCGCCTTGACTACTTCCTTCACCACTTCCAACGTAGCGGATCTGTTTCCCTCCCTTCCCATTGCATTTAAGATTGCAGATACCTTAATCTAATCGTCATAAACAGTTCCCACACTCCGGACAGCTCGCCTTGACTTCCTACGTCGCGGACCTGTTTTCCTTCCTTCCCATAGCATTTTAGTATGCAGATACCTTAATCTAATCAACATAAACAGTTCCCACACTCCGGACTACTCGCCTTGACTACTTCCTTCACCACTTCCTACGTCGCGGACCTGTTTCTCTCCCTTCCCATAGCATTTTAGGATTGCAGGTACCCTAATCTTATCGTCATAAACAGTCCCCACACTCCGGACTGCTTGCCTTTACTACTTCCTTCATCACTTTCTACGTCACGGACCTGTTTCCCTCTATTCCCATATTATTTTACGATTGCCTTTACTACTACTTCCTTCACTACTTCCTACGTCGCGGACCTGTTTCCTTCCCTTCCCATAGCATTTTAGGATTGCAGATACTTTAATCTAATCGTCAAACAGATTCCAGACTTCGCACTGCTACCCTTGACTACAATGTATCGAGTAATCTTCAGTATAATCTTTGCTTAATATTAACAAGTGGTGTTTTTCCTTTTGTACTGTATTTCTAATTTGCTACCTATACTGTGGGTAGTTGGCTTATTATGAACACATGCTACAACTTCAAGTCTTTTGTTTACTTTTTCCTTGTTATTTAATTCAGCCAACATGGTTACCTAGCAACCCATAAGAATCATTTAAAAAAAATGTGATTTTCAGTTTCATTTTTCTACGTAATTAGATTTTTGTTGGCAGTTCTAACTGCAGTAAACTCGTTTTTAGGCCAGAAATAAACTATTTACAACATTTGAAGAAAATCGTCGGAGCCGTTTTCGAGATCTTGTTTGCAAGCAAGCAAGCAAGCATACATACATACAAGCAAACATTGCTCGTATTAGAGTATAGGATGTTTCTCATCCGATCTGAAGAAAAACTGTTGTTTAGTATAAAGTAGGTTTTACTCAAACTTACCAATTTTGGCCTAAGAATAAAAATTATGCATACCATTACCATTACCATTACTTGGTTTGGAACTAACATACCCAGTGGCGGTCCCAGTATTTCAATTCGGGGGGATGACCACCGGGGGGTCTGGCGGGTATGCAGTATCCTTCAGAAAAAAAGGGGGTCTGGGGGTCCCCTCCGGAAAAAAGTGGAATTTAAAGCCTAAAAACATATATTTACCTATACATATTTGAGCTCTAAAATATGCTCAAGCTAATAGTATTTATGTTACCGGTAGCTTATAAAATATAGAATATTTTAGGGGGGGATATATCCTGGGACCGCCACTGTGCATACCCATCTAAGTTAAGTTCGTTCAAACAAAACTGGCTACAGTTCGGAAGGGATTCTAAGGTAGACCTACCATACCAACATCTGTTTAACCTACCATCCATGCAAAAAACATGGATCATCAAAAGAAAGACATTGGCTAAGCTTAAGTTTATCGACGCTCATCCTCATGGCATGTACAGTGGTAGGCTTGATCTACTTTTTTTTTACTTAGGTCCATTACTTATGTTATGTACGAAGCATTGAAAAAAATATTGTATAGGCTACTTACTTGAACAAAAACTCTTTCAGGCAGAAACATCCTTCATGACATTTGAAGGTATGCAGCTGCAAGGATCGATGAAGATAATGGAAAAACTAAATGTAAGTATTATTTTTTTAATCCATGGCCTACATTATTTTTCATATATTTTTCTTTTTCACATAGGTAGTTTTTTTGTATGGTTCTTTTAGGCTACCGCTTTTTATATTCATTACACTGTTTTACAGGTTTCTGTTTAAGTTTCTCTGGTACTTAATAGTATTTAAAGACCATACCTAAATTGGTAAAATAAAACCCTTAGATTGGGTTAGGATGATTTTGTCTTTAAACTAATTGAAATCTTATTTGGAAGACGATTTATCGGTGTGGTCGGTTATGTAAGTACTGTTTCTCTTGATGGATTTATCTCTACTATAGCCTTTAATTCTGAGCCAAGACTAGTAAACTTCAATTTTTCTGATATTACAGTTGGTTGTTCTGTTGGTTAGTAGTACAGGAAAATGCAAGAATCTTTTGCCGGAAAGCAAGTGTATGGGGGACATACTTAGGAATAACAAATAGAAATTCAAAGATTAGCGATATTAATTTTTTCGGCTAACTTCTATCATATTAGTTAGTTTTTAAAAAGTACTGGAAATAACTTCTACTCAGTAAGATTCTAGCTAACGAATAGATAATGTACTCGTTAGTAGTTTTGGAGCTTAGATAGTTAGATTATTTGATGGATGGAAGTACCTCAAATACGAGTTTTTTGCGTGTTCAGTGAGGGTTGCGGAGCTTAGATAGTTAGATTATTTGATGGATGGAAGTACCTCAAATACGAGTTTTTTGCGTGTTCAGTGAGGGTTGCATGTGGCTGTAAGGGTCAGCGTCCTTGGTCACACAATGCGGGGTGTGGGGAAAAGAAATGTCCAGTTTATTTGGTATGCAGTGGTCCCAAGGCAGCCAATAGCAACACTGCATGTACCGAGGGGTGGGAAGGGGGAATGTTAGTTTCTTTTGGTGATTTGTCATCTCAAAACATTGTCTTCAGTTGATGTTGATTCTCTGACAAGTGTGAAGTTACTTTTTCTGTGGTAGCCAAGCAACCTAGACCTATGATACCTACTCAACTCCCAATTAACCGGGATAAAGTAGGGTTGAGACTTCCCGGATACGTAAAATCTAGTTAATTGGCTAAATACTATTGAATAGGAAAGTTTATTAAAATACAACTAGACCTTTCCTATCCAAGACTTCTTCCTGTTCTCTCCTATTTGCCTCCTGAAGTGGGCATGAGTTCCTTTAGTTTACAGTGGAACACACGTACAACCAAATCTGGTTGCATATTAGCAAATTCACCAATCTTCAAATCATCCGAGATTTCAGACCGACGGGGATTACATGTCATGGTGATGAATAGCAAGGGCTTCACAGACATCTGCTTTTGGGAGAGGTCCGTGGACGCACGATTTTCAAGTAGTCTTTGAATTACAGGTGAAACACTTAAAGGTGGTAGAATAACTTTTCCTTTATGACAACAAAGGCTGAAGGTTCGGCAATCACCACTTAATTGTTCGGCTTGGAAATTATGTGCGGAACAGCTTTGCAGCTATTATCCAACAGTCCTAAATTGAATGTGAAATCTTCAGGCGGCTGTTGGAAAAACATAACTGAATGTTGTATTTGACAGAAATCACAATGAATGACATACATATTTGAACACAATGCCACTCGTAAATTCAAAGAAGATCTAGTCTTTAAGATAAAATAAAATACTTACAAGACTCAAACAACCGTGAGAAAACAAGAGTTAATTAAAATCAGAGTGAGTCAAATTTTTGACTAACTTTCCCGACTATGTGCGAAGGTTAGGTTAGTTTATTTTAGTCTGTTATTTCCGGCAAAACATTTTGTGTTTTAAATACTGTTAACCTAACCTATCTAAATTAACCTTAATAGTCGTCTAAATCAAAATCTGTGTCCCTTACCTCCGTGGTATAGGCTGCTACTTGCTTTCCGCCAAAAACTTAACCATTAAACTAATCAACAAATCTTGATAATGTCATCAGTTTTGTAGCTCAGCTATGATTTTAAATGCTTATAAATGTGGCAGTAAAGAATTTTTTATTTACTTACCAACTTCTTCATTCATGATCCCATCAATAGTTCTTCATAATCATGTTATTCTCAACCAAAACAACATTTTCTAGACGATCTTGCACACAATGGCTAGTTGCCATGGCTACCACTTGTGTGATGACTACAGTCTACATACAGCCGTAGCAGCCACTACTTGATACTTGTGATTGAAACCATAATTGTTCCCTTGTGCAGGGAGCTTTAAATCATTTTTGGAAACAACTTCCAGAGTTGCTAAGCATGTGAGTTTATAAACCAATTTCCCAACCTCAAACTACAAATTTGTTTAAGAACCTGTTAAATCCTTTTTAGTTTAATTTAGTAAAACGAAAATTTGTTTTTTTTCAGAGCTTATCGTTCCAAAAAATAAACAGAATCATCACAGCGGTGGATTCACAGCCTATGTTCGATGGAGGAGTTCTGATCAACGTTTTAGGACGGTTGCAGGTATGTTTGTTATTTTTTACTACTGTTAACAAAGGTCTGGGATTAGCCTACTTGATTTTCACAGTGCTCTGATTTCTTCTGTGTCTATCTCTAATTGACAGTTAAAGTATGTTAGTCATAAGAAGTAAATTTAACAGTAGGTCTACTGGAGTAGGCATGCATTAGGTTACAATACTTGTTAATGATGTTATTTGGTACACAATACTTGTGCCCCTTTGTCTTGCAAGGGACGAATTACTACATTCGCCACTTTCCTTACATCCCTAATAACTAGATACTATTTCTCATTTATACAGTAGACAGTACCTTTTGATTTAGTTGGGTTCATGGCGTGGTAATAGTTTTATTAGAATTTATTATTTTGTTTGTATGGTGTTTTGTTTAAGTATGTTTTTGAACAAGTTTTGACTTTAAAATTATGAATTTTGAAACCTGAAATTTTTCTTGTTTATTTTTATGTGACGTCGACGTTGGAAACCCTGATTATTACAGTAGAACGCCTCATATCCAGCTACCACGGGACCAAGCCCCTAGTTGGATAATTGTTTATTTTTCCTATTTTATAATTGATTGTGGAATGTGTATTATTTAATAAAATGTTTCAGACAAATAAATAAACAATTATGTATTAAGTACACATTGTGAAACAAATTTATCAAGTGATAAATTGTGGAGGTAACCCTTTAAAGTGTAAAATTATAGGTTTTGATTAGTGTGTGCATGCATTTTTAGAATAATGTTGAAACTATGTATTTCATGCTTGCATGAAGCTTTAGGATATCTCAAGACCTAATCTACAACCAGCTACTAGTACATCTAGGCCTAAATCTTGTTGTCAGTCATTGACAAGAGTGTGTGCAGCTTTTCTTTATTTTCCAGACGGACGAAGACCCGCCACACGCGTACAGTCAAATATTCGTTTTGAAACCAATCGGCACAAGTTTCTACGTCCAACACGATATATTCAGGCTGGCGCTACACGATTCACTCTAGCCTCCCGGCTGAATGGTACAGAAATGCTTGCATGCCTCAGCTTGCGCACATTTCCACTTTGCACGGTAGCGAGTTGTGTAACCTCTTTTCCTTCTCGTTTGTTGGATCCTAGCTTCTAACCTAGGCTAACATTGTTGAGCGTGTTTTCATTGCTGGGGATATGTTTTGTGAGAAATGATTATTTATTCCTTGTCGATTGTCAATTGTCAGTAATCCATCACAGCCGGATAAGCTGGTAAAAGTTGTTGAGTTAAAAAAAATTTATGTATTGTACCAGTCTTGCAAATCACAAATAATATATATACAAGAATATTTACTCGTATCAGAAAATTTGAAACTTCTGTGATATGCAGAAAACCTCACTCTTCATAGGTTATCCTGCATACGCACATGGGAGCGTAGCTTTATAGCAAACCCGAAACTTTAATCTTATTCTACTTTATGCTATGAGCTGGGTAGCTGTTCAATAAGAGAACCAGATCGTGTTCATCAAACAGGATTTTAATTGTCTTTAAGTAATCAAGTTTAATACAGTGACAGTTATTTTCAAGTATAGCCTACTAACAAATGCCTGGTAGGAACCGCTCTGGAGGTAGCTTGAATCTTAGATTTATAGTCCCCAAAAACAAAACGAAACTATTCCCTTGTAATCTAATCAAACCAAAGTATCTATCCCCAAAAGAATTCCTTCAACTCAAATCACAAAACTCCAATTAACTTACAGTCCCCTTAAATTAAAACTTCCCGTACAAAACTCCCGACTACAGGGCCTAACCCCAAGACAGAGAAACCAGTACTCACCCAACTCTCCTGGGCACCTTGCCCCGGGCAACTGACCCCTTTCTCTACCTCAGGTGGCCTATTTATTGATCTGACAGCTACTGAGTGCAAAGCCCTCAGTGTTTACAAAACACCTCCAGCACGCTTCACAGCAAGCAAGGCCTGACCACAGGTCATCAACCTCCTTTACATCCCCCCTTCTCCTCCAGACGATGTCCTCAGCGTCTCTTTTAACATTCAAAGAAAAAAATTAACGACAATTTCAAACGAAAGTTTTACAAAAAAAAGTCCCCCAATAAAAAAAACTTTAAGACAAATTACTTTACAATATTACAAAACTGAGAAAACAAAACAAATTACATTTTATCCATAATCCTAAACATTTTCACAAAAGCATTGTTTTCCTCAGTGGTGATAGCAATGAATGAGTGCAAAGCGCCTTGTCTCCAGTGGGTAGATGGAATGTGCTGAGTCACCAGGTAGCTCTCTCTAGTAGTGCTGATGCAGACAACTAGCTGAGTGTGCAAGGTCGGCCAACATCAGCTCGTCAGCTTACCAACTTGGACTGGACTCCAAAACAATGCTAATGTTTCTGAAAACAACTAAGATAAAACATTACTATATGAAATAAACTAATCAAACATGGATAAGCATATCCACACTAGCCAGCCAGTCCTGATTGAATGAGTATAGGTATACTATCCTGAGGCCCAGCCCTTGTTAAACGTGTTTTTAATAACTCACAAAACACCCCTTTTTACTATCAAAACTGAAAGTTAATTCTCCGAAACTGAAAAGAAAAACCTCCAAAATGTTTCCATACAATGACTGCTAAAAAAAAACACATATTATAATTTACCTACCTACTCTAATTAAGCTATTAAAAACCAATACATATCGTAATAAAAAATACTACCCTATTAAGAACTTTTATAACTTTACACTCCCACACTCAAAATCTAACACACTGACACTACTCTTATTCCACAATATAAAACCTATTTTTAAAATTTTGCTGCTACAAAAATAACCCTAGGGTATTATCTCAAAGAAAGGTATCTAAAGTAATCACAATTTTTACCATAAATCTTCAAAACAATACTAAACAATAGAACATATTCAGATAACTCACTGCCCATATCATCACTTAACCAAAATCAGTACTGTATACACAACAAAAACGAGATACCGCCTACACTTAAATTACCTTACTATAAGAAATATTGGACAATAGGCATGAAAGGATATCACTCAGGTATTCCCGTTGACTCAGGCATTCTGCCTAAAATTCTATGAATGCCATATATGAGAGCCTTACTTGTTCAATCCTAAATATCCCTACTCAGTTCGGAATATTAGTACTAAAACAAGCGGCACTTCTAATCTGTGTAGCACTTCTGAGTGATAGCAGGGAAACTTGGAAAAACCAGGATAAACATGGAAATTATCACACAACAATTGATAAAAACACAAAATTAAACGATACATAATCTAACTAACAAATCACCTACCGCTACTCTTTGAATTTAAAGTTAATTTTAAGCAGAAAATTAAAAACTGACAAAAACATGTAATCATACACAAAAGTATACTTCACTATTTACATTGTACAAATCTATACATACCTACTGATTTCCTTACATACAATTAAGCTCATCCTACCCCTTTTGCATCATCCCTATGGTCTCTCTTGAGTCTACCAACATGTAACCTATCCTTCGACCATTTTCCCTCTTTCCCCAACATAAACTCATTATTCAAAAGGCGATGAAACTTTATGGTTTCTTTTCCTCTCACTAACCGTGTCTCAACCAAGACCTCATTGCCTACGTCACATACATCTCTCCTATTTTTGTCCAATTGCTTACTTTGAAGATCATGTGCTTTGCCACAATCCCGAGGTGACACCTCTCGTACATCATGCAACATCGTCCCTGTATTTAACACGTCATGATCTGGAATCTTCGGTAAAATTACTAAATCATTTGATTGTGAGGCCTCAAGCACACAATTTCCCTTCATGTCCATTTCTTCCTCAACACGCAAGCTACTACACAAGGTTGTGGAATTGTTCTGTGTACCTGTCACGAAATCAACCGGTGGCGTTATTTCACTACCCGTCATTTACATACCACGTTGTCATCTTTGAAATTAGGGACATCATTTTTTAATGCTACCTCTGATCGAATTGGAACCACACCTCCACATTGTAGAGGAATTTGTATGTCTTCTAATGTGTAAACATTAATTACGTGTTGTTGCAATTCTCCCCTTCTAGTCCCGAAATTCATCAACCAATTCATGTCCATAGGCAAAGTTAGCTTAAAATTACCAAAATCAAACTTTATTAAGTGTTTTGCATAGTCCAAAACTACCTTATTCCGAAGCAGAAAATCATTTCCTAAAAGGACCTGGGAGCTTAAATTTGATATAACATAAACATCTTGACTGAAACAAACATCATTAATTGTGAACACGACGTTTGTTCTGCCTAATACCTTAAGAGGAGATTTATCAGCAGTTATTAGCGAAACATTTCCTGGAATGATCACTGTGTCTTCATTCACTAGACTGCAATCAATTAAAGATACATTTGCTCCTGAGTCTAGCGATATTTGTATATTCCTAATTCCTACCATTCAATACCCCATTGACATGCAAGGCTAGCTGAGTTGTATTGTGATTGTGTTTTACTGACTCAACAATGTCACCGTACTTACACACCAAATCCTCAGCGCTGACAAGAGGAGTCGGCGCCTAGGAAAACCTGGCTTTATGATTCATAGGAAGATTTGGGTTGCTTTACGATGTGTACTTTATTGTGTTAATTGCAGCTGCAGTTGTAAATTGTGATCAGAACTGCTAACATTGGATTGAAATTCTCATTTTTTATTAATTTTAATTTGACATTTTTAGGTTTGACTAAAAATGTGGGTTTTATACTACCGTATTTCAAGTGTTTGTTTGAAGTCCGGTTAGTTTTCAGAATTTTTGTTTGTTTCCAATTAGCCTACAGGTTATTATCTATTTTAATGAAATCAACAACAAAAACATTGTATGTGTGCAGGAATATTACTAATGTTAAGTTTTCGTAATTGCCTGGTTATAGTGCTCGCCTGGTTATCAATGGATCGTTGGTTTGGTCCTCAGAAAAGTCAGTAGCTTTGTAATCGTTGTCTTTGATCCGCCTTAAAATAATTATGGCTATTTAAATAGCTTATCTCAGTCAATAATAAAGCTACACAAATCATCACACTCCATCTTACAACCACCCTGCATTCATATTCATTTTAAAATACATTTTCATGTGTGAATAACTGTCTCTAAAAGTTGATAAAAAGCATGCATTGGATATGTGGATTTTTACTCGTCTATCTTAACTTTAATACTTTATTCTGAAATAGCGACCAAACAAATCTCGGTATTTTAAGCCAAGTAATAATGAAGATGAGTGTATCTTGGCAGACACAGGATCAATGTTTATAATGTTAAATTAAAATTAAAGATATGTAGTTGAAATTGCACAGTTACTTCCTGCACAGCTTAAGTCTGGTTGAGGATTAAACTTAACACGTTGACTGCTAACGCCGACTTTAGTCGGCGTCGCTAGCACTTCAATGTGGCGCGCGCCGACAAAAGTTGGCACCAGACCAACAGAAATATATTGAGTCAGTGTGAGCTTAGCCTCAGACGGAGACGTTATAATCGTTGCCAGACTGCCAGCTTAGAATGAAGCTTTACTTTGGTGTAGGTTGGTACTAAAATTTCCCATAAAATCCTCTCTGGCAATGCTTTTGTCCCGGTTTCTGGGATTTTTTTCTCTTCAACCCACATTACAAAGACACTGGATACGGATCCGTGCAGTGCTGCTACCTTTGGGTGTTTCAGTGAACTACATCCACTCTCGGGGTAACGCAGCACAGTCACCACTGCTCTTTTGTGATTCGTCAGACTGAAATATTTGAATGCCAATTGCGTTCGCTGATTCGGCTGCGTGGCGGGGCTTCGCCCGCCACTGGGGAGCGCCTGTACGTTGTTTTCAGCAGTCAACGTGTTAAGTAAAATTTGCTTTAATTATAATTTAACTTTTCAAAAGTGGCCCTGGAAATAGCTGCTTTTATTTTGTGTAACATCTGATACACAGCTGGAATTTTATTTTTTGTATACTGTGGGGTTGTGGAAGTACTTAAATGGTCGAGTATTTTTTAGCAAGTACCTATCTAATCTAACATTCTAGATTATGCTTAAATCAATATCATTCAAAGGATTTGTTTATTGGGTTTCTAGAGTTCCTAGTAATTTATTTTAGATATGAGGATTTTTCTTAGGATAGTAAACGAGGTTAGCTGACCTGGAATCTGTCACAATAAACATGATCATTTGACTTTACTTGATTTCAACATTTTTTGCGGGTTCTATAATGTTCAATCGGATTAAACCTTTACAAGGTTAACAACAGAGTGCAGCACTATTACTGTTTTGCTCTCCTCATTGCAAACCAGTATAGCAAATCGTTGCAGCTAGTATATCAATAAATTGTGCAAAGCTTATGTTATCACCTGTTTCATGTCAGTAATCAGCTGTTGTGTTGACAGGCAGACGACGATCCCCCGCATCCGTTCTCGCAGGTGTTTGTGTTGAAGCCTCTCAACAACTCGTTTTACTGCCAACACGACATCTTCCGTCTGGGGATCCACGACTCTGCCTAGAGACTAAACTGTGAACTAACCGCCATTTATGACAGTGAATTGTATTTTTCCGCAAGTCGCATTTCCACATGTTTCTTTATTTTAATTCACATTGAAAATGTAAATAATAGACTAAGCCGTCGCCAATTCTTTATCTTCCCAATAAAATTGCTTATTATGTATTTTGCTATATTTTGATAATCCTGGAATGTTTTGCAACTAAGTAATATAATAAACTTTTTTCTGTTTTGAGTGGTTTTCAGTTATGTTTCACCTAAGTTGTAGGTTGTAATATTAAGTAAGTAGACAAACCGACTTGAAGGTTTTGAAAATGGAAAACGTAACATAATTTAATCAATTGTTTTGTGGAACGATAAATTTCAACAGTCTTGTATGCTACCATCAAGTTAGAAAATGCTTACTGGCATTCATCAAATCAAAGTACTGTATCCTTTTTTTTTAACAAAACATATTATATGAAACAGTTTTAATGTGTGTTTTTCTTACATCAATGTAGACGAGTGTTGTATTGTGTTCAGCTTTTTTGGTTTGGATTTATATTTATTTCTAATATTGATCTACATTTCACTTTCTCATTTTATACTTTGTGTTCTGAATATGAATGTTTCTTTATTTGGCTACTAGGTAATGATAATACATTTAGATGGTATATTAAACTTAATTAAAAATTCAATACATCAGTTGTTATGTATTACGTAGGTTATATTTTGATGTTTTGCTATAAATCTACAGCTATAAATTGTTTGATAGCTTTCCCAAACAAACTTTTCCCTTACCCAAACAAACAAAGTTCCAGTTCAGCTCAACAGCAGTATGTCTCTTGTTGTAGAAAATAATCTGAAAGCTGGCTTTTCAATAAATTAATTGTAAACTATAGAACAAAAACTTGAAAGAGAATCACTATACTCTGTTCACAAAATTTAGGTGGTTTGAGGGGAAGTTCCCCCACCACTTATTTGTGCCTAATGTAAATGTTGCTGCTGATTGATATTTGGTAAACCTCAGCTTGCTATCAAGTGGAGGGGATAGATTTCTTTCCCTAAAACCGCATACATTTTTTGAACGGACTACAGACTAAAGAACCTAAGATATCTCCTTCCATAAATAAATACCCCCGCCGCAGCAAACCTGCCGACTAAGCGAATTTCCATTTGTCTTAATTGATTTTCAGTTAAATATATTTTAATAACATTAGGTTTAACGAGTACCTAGGTTTGCTGCTACAAGGAAACTAATAAAGTGTGTTTTTGAGTAAAATATTGATAGCTTAGTACAAAATAAATAAATTTGCCAAGTTTGATCAAAATATATCCATAAACAAGCAAACTACAACATTTGACAATATTCTCCATAAGAATAACATGGGAATTTTAAATTTACAATTTTTTAAATTTTCTCCGTTACTAATAATCGAACAAAAATTATTTTTTTTACTAAATTATTTGTTTTTTTAAGCTCTTTAAAAAGGTCTAAAGAGAAATCGGGAAATTTTGTGTTTTGAGGGTCAAAAGTGAGAAAAACCAATTTTTACCCCATAAAACCCCCCGTAAAGCCCCGTTCCCATGGTCCGATCGTGCTGGTTCGCGAACTCATTCAAGTTTATCCCGCTTTACACCTTTAAACCAAATTTCATCAAAATCGGACAAAAATTACTCAAGTTATCGCGTTCACGGACGTATATATATCAAAATGAAAAAGTAAATCGGTCCCGGGTCTAGGTCTTACCGTGCCACCTACGGTAATAGCTACTTCCCTATAGGGAAATTCGCTAAAAGCCATCAGATAATTAATGGGAGACTTTTCCCATGGTACCGATAATTCCCTTTAGTCACAAATAAAATATGATCTTATTCTCATATAATTTTAAGAATGTTTCTTGCAACGTTGAACATGCAAGTGAGTTATCACTAGTTGCAGACCAGACAAATGTTTGAAGCAAAAATAGACAAGGAAATGTTTAGGTTCTAGTCCAAGTGGATACCAAACTCTATTGCCGAACAGCTTTACTCTGTAAACATCTTCAGTTCAACATCAGTCTGGTGTTTGTGTTGTGCTGCTTCGGTTGCAAATAGAAACTGACCTTAATTGTATGGAGAATGCCGGTGGAAACTTTTAAGACAAATGAGGCTGTCTACTTGATATGGAAGTCACCAATTTTAGTTGGGTGTCAATTTCGATTATTTGAAGTCAAAATTGACATAGTTGAAGTGAACTATCAGCAGGTAGCACTGATGTAAATTATTACTGATTTCTGTAGAGTATTCAGACATTTTAACCAAGTCAAACTGACAAGACGACTGACTCATTGTAAGCCATAGCTTCTTTTATGTTCTCAACTATCTAAAAAAATAAGGTAGAAAACAGAATTTTAGACACCAGCGCAATCTGAGTATTTTTAATAAAAAATGTGTGACAGCTGGTCCATATAAAATATTTACTTTTGGATAGTGAAGATGACATCTTCATTATCCAAAAGTCAATAATGTCACCTACTTATTTCTGGGACTTATTTCTATATCCAATCTCGATACAATCCAAAAGCTACTGACTTATCTCAGGATCGAACCAGCGGCCTTCTGATATTAGGCAAGCATCGCAACCACTTCTGAAATTAAAGTGATTTTCATTATAATTAACCCATAATCAACATACTAAAGATATTTACGGCTGAAGGTTACAGAAAAGTCACAAATTATTGTCTAAGATTCTAACTACGATACCCAGTAACCCAGCAAGCTGACTTATCAATTATCAATTATTTAAGATGGGGACGTCACTATGTGCGTATTTTAACCCAAATATGAGTGAAGGATGAGTGGCGCGATCTTGTAGTCTTGTTAGTGACTAAGGCCGACCTGTTCCTTAGACACAGCTGTTAATTAATAGCCCATACAGCTAATGGCAACTAAGGGACCTACAGTTTATTGTGAAATCCGAACCACATTTTTCCTCGTAATTAACTAACTGGTCTAATTATTAGGATAGTACTGCGGATAGTCGTAGTACTCACTAGTGCGTACGTTAATCCACACCAGGGAGCATCGCATCCACAGTGCATCCCTATAAATATCCACAATTCGTGACCTCCTAGTAGCTGGATTACAGGACTTGTATGTCTTATAGATACATAAAATGAGTAACTTATGTTTATGGTACATCAACATAATTGTTATTTTTAACTTTTTATCCAGTGTAATATTTCAACAATTATTCCCGGTAAAAATTAAGTAAAACAAAATATTTGCAACAAATTCAGATTGACATATATCTTAAAAAAAAAATATGGGGGACCCTTTTTAGAACTGATTTTAAACCTTAACTACCATTTAAACATAAAATTAGTTTTTCCTTAATTTACATTTTATAAAGTTACATTAATTTATGAGTCCATTTTCTGTTTAAGGACTTTGTTCTCTTCCATCTTAGATTTATAGAATAAAAACATCAAGGAGGTTTTGTGCGTCCATTAGTGTTCTCTGTTGACCCATCTTTCTATTGGATTGACAGTGGAGATTTAGGTGTGTTTTTTCTACAAGTTGTCGGTAGTTTCATGATTCAACATGTCAGATTGTGCATCTGACGAGAGCCAGATCACAGCAGGCTAAATATAACATCCATCAGGGCTCTTTGTTGTTCTTAGATGACCAATCAATCACATCTGCTTGCCTTCATGGAACAACTGTACTACAACCAAAGTTGATAGAAGTTGATTTGTGAAAGAAACTTGAAGTTTATTTTTTTTTATTGTCAACTAACGTTTGGTTTGGTGTAACTAGCCTACCTCATTATCGTAATTTAGGGTTAGGAATTGGGCACAAAAGTGGTGCTAATCTGAAACTGTAGAAGAAGATACATATATTTTTCTGAGTGTTATGTTTTTTTACAAACTCAGAAAAAGGTCATTGAAGTACGTACAAATACAACACAAACATATGGTATTCGTGAACATTATTATCGTCAGACCATGTTATATTCGAGTGTTTATGTATAATTCATGAAGTTTTTTATAAACAAAAATAGATTGTCAGCAGAAGGTGACAAAGGTAAAGTTATAGCCTTTGGGATGAAAACACTTTTATGCTGAAACTTGTTGATAGCAATCTAATACTGGTTAGGGTGTAGCTCAGTGGTTATAGTGCTCCCCTAGTACCAGTGATAATCAAAAGGTCACCAGTTCGATCCTGAGAAAAGTGTGTACGATCAGGGAGAGCCACCAAATGGTAATCATTGATGACGTGATTCGTATCTTCTACATGACGGGCCATCTGTCACTTCCCTTTTAATTTACATTTTGGACTTGCGCTAATAACCTCTTGTAACCCTGTTTAGGTTGAAAAATACAGAATACAACTTTACAGCAACCTGAAAGAAGGTATATTAAAAAATCATTTGTCAAAGTGTGATTTGGTGATTTGGGGTAGGATCAAACCCCAAATAAAAAACTACAACAGAAATTGGGTCCAAACAGATGTTCCTAATGATTCAAGGTAAGTTTATTTATTTTGTTTATCGTTTCAAGGGCTGACGCCAATACATATGATGATTAAGATTGTGATACAATTTAAAGGAAATAACAAGATGCAAATGTAATACAATTCAGAACAGTAACAAGCTACGAGATAACAATAAATACGATAAAACAATAAATAGCAACAACAAATACAAGTTGACAAACAGGCGAAATTCACAATTAATCTGGATTTCATTTTGTTTATATAAAATGTTTGTTTTCACTTTAAATATCTTTAATTCTCCTATGACGCTAGGCATGAGCCCGGGATTGTTTAGTCCTATAGGGGTTGCGGCTTTTTGACTTAGATAAAATCCATTGATGATTCGGTGGGATTTGAACCCAGGACCTCAGGGACCGAAGTCCTGCGCTCTACCACACAACTCTATCATTAGAGCAGCTCCCCCTTGTAACTTTATATTTTATTATTTTATAACATAAAGTAACTATTTTTCAGGTCCTTCTCTAAGCCCAACAATACCAAGAAAAAACGGCTATGCGAAGTATAATTTGAAAAAGGCAGTAACAAATACATTTTTTTGATAACCCGAAGAAATTAGTTTCCAAGGTACAGTACTACTGTTTTGAACTTTTTGAAATTGTATTTAACTGTACTGTAAACATTCTCAAGAAATATGTGTTTTGCCTCAAATACACCATTAAAATTTAATTTGATACGATTTATTTAATATGAGATCATTATTTTCAGTAAAGATACAAA